GAGTGAAACTCTACAAACAGATGATTTGGTATATCAGCACACTAACCTCTTCTAGTTTGGTCGACTGGTAGATTATTGCATTGCATCGACTCTATGACAATGATCGGGACTGACACATCTACAAAAATCAAGATCCGGTGAATGGTTTAGCGTAAACTATGTCGAGATAAATGTACCTCTAACCGTATGTGATGATCGGTTTACCGTTTTCAACCCGTAGGTTGAAGATTGGGTCTTGAGATGATAATCAGTATGGAATACAGGGTCGCTAACCTCTGTAAGATATGGTGCACTTTTGTGACCTCATAGGTGACGTATAACAGTTATACGAACTGGTTAAATTTGCCATCAATGCATGCCAGCGGGAAAATCTTACGGATGGTTGGTTGTACCCTCTTAAAAACATCAATAGTAAACATACTAGGCGTAACGTGTCTGTTGAGCTTGCGCGGCCTTGCTGCGAAGAACTTTACACATGTGACTGCAGTGCTTTCGGTCACCAACCATGCGACCTTGGAGTCAAACATACGATAACTAAAATAAGCATTCAATATTTAGCAAGGAGAGCAGTTCACAGATGTTGGGGTCACATAGTCGATATGGCATATGTCGACTGTGAAGGTGTAGCCATCCCACGTGACATCTTTTCTTCGATGCTAAGTATATCGCTCTATCTTCTGAATATGTTCTTTAGAAGTCCTAGGTACCATATTTCTGACTGTCACGATGGAATAAGTCGGTGAAGACGATGATGTGACTTCCATGTAAGACCGTATAGATTGGGTAGCCAAATCATGACAAATCTAGAATTTCGGAATCTAATACCGACCAAAACATGTCAGTATTACAGGTTTTCCATGCCATACTCATGAAAGTTAGCTTCTGCATAGCAGGATCAAGCTTCAATATTATCGGACACAAAAGCAACGAGATGCAAGGAGAGGGACTTGACAGATTTAATCTTTAAAATTTTGGATATGTATCATGGCCTATTAAAAATATATCAATGTGTGAGAAAACAGATAACGCGAGAGTAGTACCAGGATGCCAAATCAAAATCATAAGTAGCTACTCATAATAGTTTCTCAACATCGCCATAAAATTTTGTCGCGATTTGACAATCACGTTATGTGTTTGATTTAAGCTATAAAACTAAGAAGTAAAGCATTTTATAAGCTCTATAATAACTATTTCCATAAATAGGGCTGTTTTTCCACAACTAGCTTTGTCTAACACTTGTTGTTCCAAATAAATTATTTCTTCCTTGCCAACTGGTTCCTTAGTAGGTCTGATTAGAGGTTTGACAACAGCCATTTGTGAAAATCATCCTAGTAAGCTGCCAAGCTAATTTCTTACAAACTGAAAGTATCATTACCGTATTCATATAAACACAGGCTAAAAGTTCATAACATCATCATAGAAATGGGTTGAGAGTTAGACTTCTGCTCACCCTGATTATCACATGGCTTGCACTCACTCTATTTACCTATGAGCGTTCGATTAACTAAAGAAATTTACAGTAAATCATCTTTAGTGGTACTGTATGAGGTGTGTTGATTTCTCATACCTTATTTCGAGCAGGTTTATATCTAGCTTCTGCATGACCTAATGCTCACAACTAGCTTGTATGCACAGTTGTTTTCTAACTATCCATCTGCAAGTACTAGTGGGGATAACTGATTCACTAGGTAGTCAGCACACTGAGTTTACAGCATGAATTTCACAACTGTGATCCCACTAAGCCAATTATCACCAGTTGTCCATACGAAAAATGGAAATTGCCACTGTCACGTGACGAAACCTTAATTCACATATATAACAGTTCATATGTTTTTGTCGTATGACTAAACCTACCACATGTGACTTTCCTAATTGATTATTCTTATCATTACAGAAAACTGTTCGTACTGTTCGTACATTTAGCGGACAACATCCGACTTACACTATGCGTTCCAGTGTGGCTTGTTGAGACCCTTTGACCTGACTGATTCACTTTTCTTTATTGGTCGATTAACAGAGATACTTATGACTAATAGAACATGCACCTGTGTAAAGTGCAAAGTAACTTCAGAAACAGTCTTACTTACAACATCAAGCCAATCAAATGATTAATCTGTAAGACTCCGATTATGTCGCTTACTCTAGGAAGCCTACTCGATTCTAGAACCCTCAGTATTTTACGTCTCTTCTTGATCGTATGCCCTAATTTTCCTGGTAAAAGGAAACTTTCTGTGTACCCGCATTTACGAAGCTGGTTATGAAAGGCCATCGTCACAGACTCAATGTCATATATTCGATGAGGTATGGTAGCAAGCCCAACTTCTTTCAGGTTCACACGTGTATTGTTTTAAAAAAGTAACTTTCCGTTTCAATGCATTTTTGTGTCCAATATGTCCACACCATGTATATTTCCTTCCAGTTTACAAATCCGTTCTCCAAGCCAAACACTTATGTGAGACCGAACATTTGTCACGTAAAATTGTACACTTCCTTTAGCACGTGATTATTTCATACAAACAGTTGAGCGATTCTTTCGGTTTCAACTAACTTATTTATTTTTCTCTTGGAAGTAGATTTTTTTATATTTTTGAATTGAGGACGACCAACGACGCAGGTGAGTGAACAATTGATAGCCAGACAGAGCATGGGAGAATCATACCTCACCAACATGGTGCTGGATAGCCCGTTCACAGCGAATCATGAGACACTCTTGTTTCATTTCCTTACCTTCCATTCTCTTACAAGCTCTGATCCTCATACAGAGGACACATCCAACAAGTTATGAGCGATAATTTGTGAAAGAAAGCGTAGGCTATGCGATAAGATAACAAGCTAGTGGAGTACATGATATCCATGGACTATCTCCGAATACTGACTGAACATTGGTTGTTAGATTGGAAGTCAAACATTGAACCAGTTAGTAGTTCTCCTTTAGGCTGTGGAAACCAAACTGATATGTTCTTGTTTGGTATGTCGGCCGAATTGATATTCCTATGGAAGTCGATTCTAAGAGAAAGTTAATGCAACGACTTAGGTGGATTGGTTAAGGATTGAACTCAAATAACTTAGTAATGTCGGAAAAATATAGCGCAGGAATGCATCTACTTCCTTGTTTCGTATTGGTATTATATTTTCTGTTTGTATACGTGTGGAATTTGGTCTACTATGATATTAGTACTGCTCGAATAATTGACCTAATCCTAAAATTGTAGATTCGTCATGATATAACTGCCTAATCTATAAGATCTTACGTGGAAGTCACACCATCGACTACACCAACTCACTGTATCGTATCAATTACCAATACATGATGTAGAACAACGTTAGGCTAGAGAAGGAACAATATATTTAATATGAATAGAAGATATAAGATAAGATTCAGATGGACCACGCCTGCATGGCCGAGCCATGCCATCCGATCAACTCCAATTCATCCAATTCCTTGTTCGAGCCTTCTCCATCGTTAGGTATTTCTCCGCGTTAAATATTGAAAGTCTATTTTCCGAGTAGTGTTGTGTTCAGCTTTGAAGATTGTGTGGTTATGATCCAATGCCACTACATACGTACAAAGATAACCTCTCACTTCGACTGTATTGTTCATGATTTAAATAAAGACCTACTCACCACCAATATGGTTTCTTCCGTCTGCGAAAAGAGGGCCAATTACCGGCAGGAAAGGTTTACTTCAGATCTAAATAATCAACTTCTTAGGGTCAAGGTAAACTTCACTTTTTTCAGGCTATAAAGTGTCATAGTGAAGTCTTTCAGTGCTCAGTAAGAAGACCTAGTTTTTTCTTAATTCATATAAATATCCTTCCTCAGCGAATGCTATCTGATTTCTCACTTTTCGCTGACTCGGTGAAGCTCTGGTTAGAAGTTTGCGATCAAGGGTCTGACTCGACTTTAGTGTTATGTAAATAACAAAGGACAAAAAAAGTGTTAAGTAGTCCACCTGAGACATACTGCACGTTAACAGTTTAACTTAGGTAACTCTCTATCTAGGGGTATATATGTTTAAAGAGATCTAAGAGTTTTGGTATCCTATGATCTAAAGTCACACGCTTACTGTGACAAAAATGCCTTTCGAGCAAACCTTGCACTGGTAACATTTAAGCGCATTTTTTGGCCAGTCCTACATAAGAAATTTTCACGTAATTTTCAACAGTTTCATTCGTCCCCATTTAGAGTACGGAAATATAGTATTTCCTTCTCACTTCAAAAGAAAAGGACACTTTAGAACGTATCCAGTGGCGAGACACGAAATCAGCTCGCGACTCAAATTCAAGCCTTATAAAGAGCGATTCCAATCACTAAAACTTTACCCGTTATATTACAGGCATACAGCATCCTTAACACTTCTGAATATCCACAAGCTCCAACACTAGCCTAAGGTGTAATACCCAGAAACCTGAGACACAACTCAGCAGAATGAACTGTAGAGAAAAGTTCTACTCCATAAGAGTAGTCAAATGCTGGAATTCACTGACGGCTGAGATAGTCCAAGCGACTTCTCAGTAGTCCTTTAAGAGAAAACTTGACATATTCTTGAGGAATAAAGGGTAATATCTTACTATGACTTACATGCCTGGAGGTATTGGTGATCCACCACTACAGGACACGGAAGGCCGTTAAGTGAAAGCTTCTCTTATTCCGTCCATAACCATTTGAACAATTTGAACCGAACAAGAAAGAGGTAACATGAGAACAACTCGTTAGTCGAAGATGAATGCTCTTTTTGTCCTCGAAGTTATTCAGAATCCATCATGACTAGATTATCCACAACTATGGCAGACATACATTCTCAATTGTTCGTTAGGATTACTATCCAAACGCAAAGAAATTCAACAATCTGAATGTGTTTGATATCCAGACATATAATCATCCATTATCGCAATTCATCTTAATAGAGGTAGTATCTAATGTGAAGATTGAGTCACATGTTACTGTTTAATTGAGCATGGAAATTCCCTACTCATCTAAAACGCATTATGATTTTTCGCGCTACACTGGTTAAACTTTCTTGGTTAGCACTTTGTGTATTTACTAGTAAAAATTTATTTGGATGTATTATCTAATATTTGTAGCTTATTTATTAATTATCTGGCTTTCTCTTATGATTCTTAATAGTTTTCGAGTCTGTGAATTCCTTATGATCTGGATCGATCCAAGCAACTTTCCCAAGAGAAACCTAGTATTTCCTCAGGAAGTTGGAGAAGGACTTTGCACTGAAACGCATTATTTTACTGTCTTCCTCCATGTTTCACATATTTGGGCTCCTATATGGAGGCGCCCACGGTCCTTCAGTAGATTAAATATTAGATTCAGATTCAGATTTGTGTAGTAAGGAGAGAAGGCCTACGGCCTATGTTATTCCTTTTCTAGTATGCTTCTGTGAGTGTCCAGTCTTCTCTTGAAAGAGTCAATTGAAGGTGCGGACACCACTGCTTCAGGCAGCAGGTTCCAAGTATTGATGACTCGGTGTGAAAACCTGTATGCCACGGGTATTTTGTTCGTTCTTGGCTTTTCTACTCGCCTGCTATGTCCTCTGAGGTGTCCCGATCTAGTGGGAAGAAAGAGAGAGAATAAGTTAGGTCCGAAATCATTTCTCAGTATTCTGTACATCAATATTAGATCTCCCCTTAGTCTGCGATAGGACAGAGTAAAGAGGTTCAGTTTTTCAAGCCGCTCTTTATATGATAAACCCGGAGTTCCGGAATTGCACGCGTAGCTGCCCTCTGTACCTTTTCTATTATGTCCGAGTCACCTTTAAACAGGGGCTTGCAGCCTGAACACAGTTCTCTAACTTAGTTCTCACTAAGGATGTGTATAATGTGGTGAACATGGTAGTATCAAGCTTAGTGAATGTCCTTTTTAAAGCCCAGAGGGTTCGAAACCCCTTAACTGCGACCTCCCGGCAATGGGCCGTCGTCTTAAGATCATTGCTCACTGTCACCCCTAGGTCCTTATGAGACCGGACTACGGGTAATGACACATCCCCTATGTTGTACGTATTAACCTTTGAATCCCCCAAGTGCATGTAGACACACTTTTCCGAGTTGATAGGCATTAGCCACTCTTTAGACCAGTTTATCATATTATTTAAGTCCGCCTGAAGAGTAAATGCGTCTTTGTCTCCAGTTATTACTCGCCAAATTTTTACATCGTCAGCGTATAATAACATTGGAGACTGTACTATACTTGTAAGATCATTAACGTACATTATAAAAAGTAAAGGACCTAAGACGGAACCTTGGGGTACTCCACTAAGTACTGGTCTCCAGATGGAGCACTTGGAATTTATTCTTACTTTTTGCCTACGACCTACTAGGAAATCCTTAATCCATTTTAAAAGAGGTCCGGCAATACCAAGGTTTGCCAACTTCAATAGCAGCCTATTAGTTGGCACCTTGTCAAAAGCCTTACTGAAGTCTATGTAGACAACATCCACTGAGTTTCCGTTGTCTAGCGCATTAATCCAGAGCTCCCTAGCTATAAGGAGGTTCGTTGTACAGGATAGACCCTTTCTAAAACCATGTTGTGCCATGTTCAGCAAGTTATTGGTTTCCATAAATGCTGTTATGGTCCGTTTGATTATTCTTTCCAGTATTTTAATTACAACACTGGTGAGGCTTACGGGTCTGTAATTTGATGGAACTTGTCGTAGACCTGTTTTATGTATGGGAGTGACGATTGCGTCCTTCCAGTCCATAGGTAACACACCTTGGTCAAGTGACATTTTGAATATCACAGTCAGTGGGGCTGCGATATATTGGGCAATATGTCTCAAGATTTTAGGGTGTAGTTCATCTGGTCCTGTTGACTTCTCCATGTTTAGGGTGCTAAGAGCCTTAAGCACATCGTTTTGGTCGAAGTCCACGGTGAGCAGCTGGTTTGTTGACTCTGTAATTGGGTCTGGTTCTTTCTCTAGAGGAGGTTCCTGAGTGAAAACTGCCCCAAAGTAGTCAGCCATAACCTCAGCTTTTTCCTGATCTTCCTCTATCATTTCAGATTCACTTCCTACTTTAATTAGGTTGGGAATCCAATGATGAATCCTTGTTCTGTAGTTTATGTACGAGAATATCCTCTTGGGCTGCTTGAGTGCAGATTCTGCCAGCTGCATTTCATATTTTCTTTGCGCTTCCCGAATTTTAGTTATACACTCGTTTCTTATCGATCTGTAACGTTCCATCGTACCCGCTGTGCCAAGGCGGATGGCAACATCCCAGCATTTCTTCTTTTGTCTTAGTAAGCGTCGAATATCCCGCCCTATCCAGGGATGTCCGTGCTTCTTTTTCTTTGGGACAGTCCAGGGTATGTATGGTTGAGTTACCCGATTGTATAACTGCCTGAATAGAGTCCATGCCTCTTGTACTGATGCCTTTGAGTCAATTTCCCAGTTCTCAGCCGATGCTGCGGAGTTAATTGCCTGCATATCTGCCTTCCATATGTTAGGACGGGCCGGCGCAATTGTTTGACAAGCAATCTCAGCCATGAATTTGAATAAGATGACTGCATGGTCACTTCTCCCAAGTGGTGGGAGAAAAGCCGTTTGACCAACGTCATCACCGTGTGTGAAGACTAAATCTAAAAGAGAAGAGTTTCTTAAGTCGTATCTTGTGGGATCTCTAATGTGTTGGAATAATGCTAGTCCAATCGAGGTTTCTAACAGTTTGGAGTCGAACGACGATATGGATGACCCTACTTCTAAGTTAACCCAGTTTATATATGGTGCATTAAAGTCGCCTACTACAAGGCTTTTACCGTTGTTACACCAGGACTTAAGTTTACTAAGGAGAAAATCATCTGCTACACATTCTGGACTGCGATAAACTACAACTACTTCAATATCTTGCCTTCGGCATTTCAACTTACATCTCACCAGTTCACATGTCCCTGAAACATGTGCTACTGTCTCAGCTAATCTTATGGTTAGGGTACTTTTGGTGTACAAATAACCCCGCCTCCCCTTCGGTTTAATCTATCAGCCCTACTGGTTATGAAACCAGTCAATTGGATTTCACTATCTAATACTTCTGACGTTAACCAAGTTTCCGAGACAGCGATAACGTCCGGTTTTTCTTTGTCCACCACTGACTTCAGCTCCGCCATTTTATTTAGTAGGCTGCGAGCATTTGTGTAGCACACTTTTAAGTCTGTGGAGAGCTTTCCCTTGCCACCCAGAGTGGCTTGGGGATCGTTTTGCTCCGAACTTTTACAATCTGAAAACCCTTAAGAACGAGGTTTCTTTCACCGTTTCGGCGACGCTCGTTTATTTCCGCTTCTGCAGCTCTTCTCTTAATACGATCAGCTAGGCTGAGGTCCTCACGGACATATATTCCGGATCCAATCAGTTTACGTGAATTACTTAGAATCAGGTTCCTTTCTTCCACCGTGTTGAATGTAACCTTTAGGAGGCGGTTTTTCTGAGGACTTTCGGAATCCACCTTTTTTCCTATTCTATAAAGCTTACAAATACTAACTCCTGAAACTGTATCTGGGAGTAGTTTACTTAATGATGTCTTAATATGATTGAGATCATGTTCAAATCTTGCCTTTGGTTCAGTATCTGAAGATTCTCTTATCTTATGAAAAATGACTGATCTATCAGAGAGATCTGTCTTTTCACGCGGTGAGGATTTTTCTTCTGATAACATCCCTTCCAATGTTTTGCTGACCAGCTGCGTTTTGCCTACAGCCTTTTTCTTCTTATTTTTTTTCTTCTTACCGAAGTCCATTTGTCACCACTCAGAACAGCCACACCTGGACTATGTGGAACGGTGACAGTTTTATCCGGATCTTCTATTTCGACTAGAGGTGTATGACTGCCGATGTCATTATCAAGCGACACTTCATTTCTCGTTAATGTCAACGGAGATTTCACGTTCCCGTCAACCGCAGTCAGGTGTTTAATGGGTCCAGTAGCAGCACTTACTACACTGACACATTCTTCATCGTCAGTGCTCCTGTTATCAGTGCTTCCGCCATCGTTTTTCTTGCAGGCCAAAGCCAATAGGCCCATAGCCTCCTGTATTAGTACCTTTTTATCCGTACAGCAGAACATACAAAGCCAATGCGAGTTAGGCTTCGAGCATCTTTTGTAAGCCGTCGGACTTAGTCGTGTACACATTTTGTGATACCACTTTTTACAGTCGTCACACTGCATTCCCTCCTCAACGGAGAACAAACAATTTGGTTGCCCACATTTGTGAGTCTTACCAACCATTGTAATTCGATTTAAAAGGTTTAAAAACAAAAAATGATAACAATGTGAACACAAGTGTTAGTCAAGGACTAAAAACAGGTACTCAGGACAAAATTTAGTAAAAAATTTCAAACTTTAACCAAAGAACTCTTAGTTAAAGTAGACCAAGAATGCTTTTTAGTGCAATAAGTACCAAAAGCAAGTATAATCACAACAAGTACAAAAATCACTGCCCTTTTTGAAACTGACAACTGTTCATGCAAAAACTGTTTTCATATAAATCACTACTTTCAGTTACGTTGGGTGTACAAACAATATGATTTTTCGTAGGAATTAAGGGCAAACTTCTTAATAATACACTGGTACAGTTCGTTGACTTCTGCGATAAACTTATCACTTTGCGTGCTAATATTACAGAAAAGTAGACTAATCGGTGTTAGTTTAGAGGAAACGCAAAAAATAGCTATCAATTTTGGGAAAAAGCGGACATTTCGGGGAGGATAAAAATTTTGATTCTGGTACATTTGCCCTCATCTGGAAAATTTCGGGCAAAATCGGGAAAAAGTAACAATTTGGTTTCTTATTAGGTTAGTGTCCCCTTGACTACACGTTGACATCATGTACACATGTGTACGAACATAGAAACCTGTTTTACATCCCAGTCTTGGAAAATTTTTATCCCCATTGTTGTTAATATCAGTTGTACCATAGAGATTATTGGGACTATCTGTGATTATCCGATTAACCATACAGTTGGTTACAACTGCCTTCGAAAAAACTCGAATCTTCAACGAAATTAAGGATTACTCAAACTGACTTCGATGCTCATTCTCCTAATTAATCAGTAACCAATAAAATAAATTACAATGAGGAACTAAATTCAGTAAACTGCAACGTATCAGGCATTGTTTGTTGATAAATTTTGTCACTGATGCTTGTTCGTAAGTCCGTTATCTTCACATTTTCCTGTCGGTTGTCACCTTGTTCAAACGGTTTATGGGTACAGCCTAAACGATTTGCATCGTAAAGCCACTGAAGAAATCGAACAAAGAATCACATTTAAAACAAGACGGAAGTGTGATATGTAAGTGATTTCTACCGCCCGTGCCGCATTTTTTCCACATCACTCCACCATCTTGTTGTTGTTATAAGCTATTTTTCTGTATTGAGGTCTAGTAATGTTGAGTTCTTATTTATCTCAAATCTGTTTTCATGTTGTTCACCTTCATTATCCTATGCCATAAATAGTGATGCTAACTTGGTTTGAGTAACTGCTTTAGAATGCAGTTTAGCTTTTATTCTATATCTCAACTTAATTCGTTCCTTTTAGAGAATTCGGAAATAAATTCTTAAGGTTGGAGAATTTTCTTTGAATAGTTGATGAAATGCGACTATTCCTGTTACCTAATTGCGTGAATAATATTTACCTTCAGGTACCGAAACAAGTTTACTGGGCTACAAATAGTATTTATTGAAGCCCGATGATTTCATTTATGACCATCGCTTTATTCGAAAGTTGTGCTGCGGTTACTTAAGGAGAAAATAATTACTTATAAGTTCTATTTACTCCGTAGTTCTTATTGAGCTTCGGCTGTGTGCCAATAACTTAAAAAGTTTATCCACAGCGCAGACCTTCACTCGTAATTTATAATCCAATTTTCTATTACGGGCTTACAAGCTCGAGTAGCATCAGTAAATATAGATTCCCATCGTCCTAAAACGTGCGGCTCATAATCTAAAAGTGAATCTTTTATATAATGATTAAGTTATCTGGTACTTTCCAGCCACCCGTATGTAATATATGTTTTGTTTTATTTGGGATAAAATACTAGTATATCTCAGTAACACTCATTCATCAATATTCACCATGTTCCATTTAGATAATGGTTTCAATATCTACCTGTGGATTGATAATTTCAGCACATCCTAGCCGTCTATCACATCAGTGAGATCCAGTGTTGCATCTTTAAGTTTCTTATGGTTAGTTATATGTCTTTCAGTAGTTTTTTGAACATACAATCTTTGAGGCTTTTCACACACGCTATTATCTATACTGTCAGGGTAACACTTGATCCTATCAATGTAGATGTTTATGCTTGTGCAGATATATAGATACAGACAAATAATGTCACCAAAATTTTCTTGCTCCTTTGGTCATATGAAGCCAAAACAACCAGTGTTGATCACCAAGAATACCGGCTTCATGAGTGGACCTCCTAATCACTCTCCTGATTGATGTCAAATATATGTTTGATATAATCTCATTTAGAGGACTGATTCATTTCAAGGATTTCGAATATTCATGGCGAAAATGTAGAATTGTTTGGGATTCACCTCACTCTTGTTAAACTGAGTAACTTTGTGTAAAGTTCTGTTTTTATATTTTTGACTATCGCTTAAAAACAAGAATAATGGGTTGCCGGCGTGCATTTATCAACTTATTTTACGCTTAGTTTACATGATATATATTTTAGGTCACTTATCTCAGTTGTACTTTAAAAGACATCTTTCAATGCACCCTATATTCATTAATTGAAAAAAAGTATTCAACACGAGTGTTTATTAATGTATCAGCACTTGTAACAAGTGTTTAATAACTAAAATTACTATATAACTATGAAACTAAAATTTCGAACTACTATTTTGTTTCCTATCATAATTCAGTTTCTGAAGATTTTATAAAATACATTGCCCAAGGAAGCGTTTTATTTGAAGTTTGTATTCTGTTATGGAGGAATCTTCGTCTATGTACAGCTATTTCTCGTGGTCTTTGGAGTTGTTTGGAATTTTATCATTATATTTATCGGTTGTAATCCCGTTTGTTTTGCTGAGTAGCTACTTCAGGAACAGATACAAATTGCACATTTCCAACGGTAATTTTTCTTAACTCAAAGTAACTTATGAATTTACTAATGTTCGTTTTAGTTGTAGTGGTTTATTATATTCTCATGAATGGTTATATATACGTGGTAGAATTTAATGTTGGACAGTTGATATTGTGAATGTTTCTATCGTATTCATTATCTAATCTCAAATCTGAAAACATACTCAAATTTAGTAAATATACGTATTATAGGATCAGTAATTACTATCATGATCTTCAGTTGATTATTAGTTTTATAATTTTATTATTGAGTTCTACCCACAGGGTTAACTGATTAATGCATGAAATTTTAAATGGGGAGCTAACTAAGTTTAAATAATTTGGTCATGCTAAAGACATTTTCAATAACCTACTGTCCACATGGTTTTTAAAATATAGTCAAAATATGTTCGTACTGGCCAGTAAATCATAATCTCCAAAGTGATTGAAAAGTTTTACTTTAAATTCAAACCTATTTTATCTGTTATGAACGATACTTAATTCAAAATGGGGTTTTAAAGCGGTTTATCTGCTAGTAGTACAAGCTTTGTCTCTCAAATTCTTGTAAACAAGTAACTTTCTGTATTTTCATACTTTTCACAGACAGCACGGGTTCTTGGCATGCAAAAGCAATGTACATATGTTTCGTACCTGACGTTTATTCTATAGAACACGTTCAGAATGAGGCGGATCTACCGATCCCGATAGTTATGTCTACAACGCGACACGGACTGCATTCAAAGCTGACATGCTTGGAATGCATCGATTCCTATCTACATTTCAATCGTAGTACCTCTAGCAGGACTTCGAAACAATACTATATATTATTGGCATTTTGCTTTTTTGGTCTACAATCATCCTACTTGTTATGGGGAGTATTACAAGTGAGTTTTTTAGATTACATGGTACAAAATATTGTACACACATCCAAGCGGTACTTCAATGCAAACATTGATGAACAATCATGTCCTTAATATATATATATATATATATATATATATATATATATATATATATATATATATATATATATATATAACTCGCTAAAAACGCTAACCAGAAAAAATAATTCAAACCATTTAAACTGTGCACTGGGAGTTAGGAAGTCTTCATTTACATGAGTTATGATGCTTCATGGTGAAAGCAGAGGTCCTTCGAAAGTCGCGAGGCTGATGCCTCTCCTGAAAACCAGAACAACCATCAATTTAGGTACATGGAATGTTCGTACAATACGGGAGACCGGGAGTCATCCAAGCTGCTGCAGAAATGAAAAGATACAACCCGGAAGTGCTTGGAATTAGTGAAACACATTGCGCGCAGGTTGGACAACAAAGATTAGCTTCAGTGGAGCTGCTGTTATACTCCGGCCATGAAGAAGAAAATGCTCCACGTACACAAGGAGTTGCACTGATGCTATCCATACAAACACGAAAAAGACTTATAGAATGGGAATCTCATGGACTCAAGATCATCAAAGCCTCCTTCAACACAGAGAAAGAGGGTATTACAATGAACGTCATCCAATGCTATCCGCCAACCAACGACTACAATGAAGACGTCAAAGATCAATTCTACGATAGCTGTAGTCAATATTTGAGCGATGCCCAATAAAGGACCTGATCATTCTGATGGGAGACCTAAATGCCAAGGTTGGAACGGAGAATGCCGGAGAAAGGATCGAAAATGGTGAGAGATTTGCGAAATGGTCATAGGTGGCACCATATTCCCACATAAACTCATGCACAAAGCCACATGGATTTCACCGGACCACACTACGCAGAACCAAATCGACTATATCTGCATCAATAAAAAGTTCAGGAAGACGATGAAAGATATGAAAACCAAGAGAGGAGCTGACATAGCCTCAGATCATCACTTGCTGGTCGCCAAGATGAAATTGAAACTCAAGAAGCACTGGACAATGGGGCGGATAATATCACAAAAGTTCAATACGGCCTTTCTTCAGGATACTAACAAACTCAACGAATTCAAGATAGCACTCAGCAATAAGTTACAGGCCTTTCACGACCTACTCAATGGAAAGGGAACTTCTATGGAGAGCAAATGGAAAGAAATCAAGGAGGCAATCAATTCAACACGTCATGAGGTTCTGGGCCACAAGAAGCACCATCACAAGGAATGGATCACTGTTGACACACTGGAAATGATTCAAGAAAGGAGGAACAAGAGGGCAGCAATCAATACTAGTCAAACACGATCAGAGAAAGCCGAGGCTCAAGCTGAATACACAGAAGTAAACAAGCAAGTGAAGAGGAGAATCAGAACCGACAAATGTAAATATGTGGGAGATCTAACAACGACGGCGAAAAAGGCTGCAAGAGAATGAGACATGAGATAATTATATGATACAACAAAGAAACGTTCTGGAAATTACCGTAAACCAGAACGGCCAGTGAAAAGCAAGGGAGGAGAAGTAATCACCAACCTTGAAGAACAACGGAACAGGTGGGTAGAACACTTCAAAGAATTCTCGAATCGACCAGTCCCACTGAGCCCACCCAACATCGAAGTAGCACCTACGGACCTCCCAATCGATGTTGGCCCATCGACAATTGAAGAGATCAGCATGGCCATCAGACAAATCAAGAGCGGTAAAGCAGCAGGACCAGTCAACATTCCAGGAGAGGCACTGAAAGCAGACGTAGCAGTAACTGCAAAGATGCTCCACATTCTCTTCAGCAAGATTTGGGATGAGGGACAAGTACCAACAGACTGGAAAGAAAGACTTCTGATCAAAATACCAAAGAAAGGCGATCTCAGCAAGTGTGATAACTACAGGGGCATCACTCTTACCAGGAAAAGTCTTCAACAGGGTATTGTTAAACAGGATGAAGGACTGCGTAGACGCCCAACTTCGTGACCAACAGGCAGGATTCCGTAAGGATAGATCGTGTACAGACCAAATCGCAACTCTACGGATCATTGTGGAACAATCAATTGAATGGAATTCATCACTCTACATCAACTTCATTGACTACGAGAAAGCACTTGATATCGTGGATAGGACAATACTATGGAAGCTTCTTCGACACTAGGGCGTGCCTGAGAAGATAGTCAATATCATACAGACTTCCTATGATAGATTAAACTGCAAGATCGTGCATGGAGGGCAGACTCGTTCGAATTAAAGATCGGTGTCAGGCAAGGTTGCTTACTCTCACCCTTTCTCTTTCTCCTGGTGACCGGCTGGATCATGAAGATGTCAACATCTGGGGAGAAGCATGGGATACAGTGGACAATTAGGATTCAACTGCACTATCTAGACTTCGCAGATGATCTGGCTCTCCTATCGCACACGCAAAAACAAATGCAGGAGAAGTTGACCAGTGTAGCAGCAGCTACAACAGCAGTAGGTCTCAATATACACAAAGGGAAAAGCAAGATCCTCCTATACAACATAGCGTGCACCAGTCGAATCACACTTGACGGAGAAGCCTTGGAAGATGTAAAAAATCTTTACATATCTGGGCAGCATCATTGATGAACACGTTGGATCTGATGCAGATATGAAAGCATGGATCGGTAAAGCAAGAGCAGCATATTTACAACTGAAGGACATCTGGAATTCAAAACCACTGTCAACCAACACGAAGGTCAGAATTTTCAATACAAATGTCAAGGCAGTTCTACTGTATGGGGCGGAAACTTGGAGAACTACGAAAACCATTATCCAGAAGATACAAGTGTTTATTGACACTTGTCTACGCAAAATACTTCGGATCCGTTGGCCAGGCACTATCAACAACAACCTACTGTGGGAGAGAACAGATCAGCTTTCAGAGGAGGAAGAAATCAGGAAGAAGCTGGAAGTGGGTAGGATACACATTGAGGAAGGCACCCAACTGCGCCGCAAGTCAAGCCCTCACACGGAATCCTCATGACCAAAGGAGAAGAGGATGACCAAAAAACACATTACGCCGAGAAATGGAGACAGACATGAGAAGGATGGACAACAATTGAATCGAACTAGAAAGGACAGCCCAGGACAGAGTGGGTTGGAGTATGCTGGTCGTCGGCCTATGCTCCATTGGGAGTAACGGGCGTAAGTAAGTAAGTAATATATGTATATACTGGTTGGCAAGCTTGATAGAAAAAAACGCCAACATGGTTTTTCATCAATGTTTGTATTAAAGTACCTCGTGGATGTGTATACAATATCTTGTATCAAGTAATATATGTAGTTGTGAATACCGGTGTGTTTTTATCGTTGACGCTTTTTAACCTTAGGTAACCATTTTGCAACCAGAGTTGTCTCTTGTCAATGGCAATGAAATTGAAAAGTATTTATTTATCTCAACACGTAAATATTGGTACATATGGCACCAAAATAAGTATGTGCCTATTAAATAAGCCGACGAAATCATGAAGCGTTAGATTGAGTCGGAATTTAAAAAAGTCTGATTAAATGAACACAAGTAAGTGAATGAATCGAATGAATAATGGAAGAAGCAGTTCTGCAGAGTAAGGTACAGTTATAAAAAATTCTTTCAGTTACAGAGGTTTCTCACTTGTAAAACAAAGTAAACGAAAATTACCGCATGATCTCCACTGGCTTCTATTCTGAGCCATATTGAATCTGCACTCTCACAACCAGGGATTTTTCACACAGCTTTATGAACGGTCACATATTAATTTGATTTTGTTTCTTATCATGTTGAATGACTGTATAATCAATGATCAATTTCATTACTTTTACATAACTTCTTTAACCTGTATTATGACCACTAGTAACTGTTACTTCACCTATTCTACACTCTGCACCACTACTTTCTTACATACTCTTGCTACCTCTACCACTACGGGATTTGAATCGACAACTGCATCTCTGTGCTAATGTGGTGTGGCAACTCGAACTGATGTACATACGTACGAAGTTCTACGTTGTTACTGACTGACTGACTTTCTTACATGTAGATATGCATCAATCTTATTCTTCTCATGATTATGGCATTTTCGGTTCCCTTTTAAATATTCATCCAATTTCACAAACCGACGAATGTTAAACAATTGTTTATAGTTATTTTAGTAATTGTAATTTTAGGCTGTATACAGTTAGTGAGAGGTCGTGAAATAAAATGAATTCATTTTACTCTGCTGACCATTTTGTTATTTCTCTATGTAAATTTGTCAAGGGATTTGACTGCGAAATACTATTTTCGTTTAGTATATGTAGGGTGTATTTTTAGAATTAGGTACTGATAATTATTTATACACTTCTGGCATCTATTTCAAAGAAATCCTTATACATCCTCTTAAAGATAATATCTGGTGATCGACTAAGAAAATTCAGTTTTGGGGTCTTTATTTGATTTAATATAAATGCTTCATGACGTGAGGATGCCGGATAAACGTTGGGAAGACAATATATCATTAAGTGCTGACAAGTAAACGACGATGTTTATATTTTTAACTGTTGGAGTATTGTGATTTTGAAGTCTTTCAGAAGAAGATCTTACAAAAAATACAAAAAATGAATGACTGCTAGAATGCATGCATTATCATCATCATCGTAAGTTTTTAATAGTCTAATCAGAGAAATTTGTTGGCTTTTCCATTATGTAAAAGTTGATTGTTTTTATTGCTCAAGGTTAAAGTCTGTTTGCTTTTCTGTAGGAGAGAATTATGACCAAAATGTATGACAATGAGAGGTTTAAAAATCCACAGTATCTTGTTTTCTGTAATCGTGCAATGGCATTAATTATTTTGATACCTCTACACTTTCTACATATTGGGTTACTTGTTAACCCTTGGAAAAAAGGTCAAAAAGCTCCCTTCATCGAGTTTGCATATGCTTCTATCAGTAATGTGATCAGTAGCTGGTGTCAGTATGAGGCCCTCATTTATATTTCCTTTCCTAGCCAGGTAAGTTATTCAAACACTAACCTTTTATCGATGAAAACTTCAGTGATTTTGTCTTCAGTTCTATGTTTCACTTTTTTTATTTTTGTGGTATTGACTCACTTTATAGATGCTGTGTTTCTCTTAGTTATATAATTTAGGCACTCAGCCTTTGTTTGTGACAATCTTGCATTCTGGATTGCTTAAATGAAGTTCCTTTTTCAGGTGTCGAGGAGTTTTTACATAAATATTCTCTCTGTTTGTTTGCTGTAGTAGTAAGCGTTATTGGTACGTATTTTATCACCTATTCTTAAAAAAAGTTGCTACTACTGATTAGGCCTGCTTTTCAGCATCTCTTTGTTGGGAATTGACAATATTCCTTCTCTATTTCACCACTGAACACATTAATAATATGAGATGTTTCAGCAATGATGGATGCAACACAATGATTTTGTTGTAATATTGTTATGACATATGTAATTCAGGTCGACAATTACGGACGATGGTATCTAATTCTAATATGAAATTTAAAAACTGATAAACTACGTCTTCTCATTGCATTATCGAAATCTAATATGAAAGCCGATCTAATGGTATTAAGTAAATTGAACGGCTAGTGCACAATGATACTTAGGCGATGAAAACTACAAGTGAGGTGGGGATTTTCGAAAGGAATTTTACGTCTCTAGGAATGAAAATCACGGTATACATAACAGTTTAAAGGAAAAAGTTACTGGCATGAATAGGTATCATTTACTTGGTATTACCATATCACATTAGTAATTGTCTCTGACGTTTGTGAAGACCCCAATATCAAATGAACAGTGTAAAACTTAACGCTTTATTGTCTGTCCAAAATGTCATTTTTTATTAACCCGCTCTCTGACTATAACTACCGATTTCCACTAAAACATAAACTTTTCTGACTAGTTTGTAATTCGTGGCATAGTTCATGTTACTAATCAGTCAATTATGATCAACACTGAATCTGACACGAGTGTCTACTGGCCCAAGTCATCATGTCAGCATAGCGAAATGTTTAACTAAATGACAAGAGAAAACGAAGAAATAATATCAACTGTAATAGAAATCTAAACATGATAAATAATGCCAGTCCTAACTTCATGGATATGTTCCAATATTCTTATCTAGGCACTACAAAACTTTTCTTTCTTATCTTTCTCCAACACACATTATGTTTAATTGTCCAAAATTCAGATAAATAAACCAACTTAAGCCTGAAGTAAAACTTGTTTACCCCAAACTCGTTGTCACCATTAAAAATAATAATTCACTAGCCAGGTATATCATGCACAGAGAATATTGGCCAGTACTACGTTATCGGCTTACTTAAATTACACGGTAAACTCAATTTATTCAAACCATTGGAAACTAAGCGAGCTCTGGATACTTGCTTCATTGTCTTATGGGACACCTTAGCAGTGCATATCAATATTTTGATAAATACCTCCTACTTTTCAATGGTTATTTAGCTAAATTTAGTGTATGATTAAGACCATCTTAAAATTAAATAATTACACACAAACCCGTAATTTAATAAGAATTATGTAGCATTGTGGTGTGTGCTACTCGATGTTGACAGTTATAAGTAGTACGTATCATCAATCCGAAGTGAAGTGCCTGGCGGCAGAAGGTTAAGAAGGTCAAGGAAAAAGAACGAGGACAGAGATCGATTGGTATGGAAACGAAAGAACAATGAAGTCTGGGACGATTGATTGATATTTTGCATGTAAAGTATTTACTGTATGGTCCTCAGACTTTAATAAGACGTTCTGCAATGTTGTGTTCAAATACATTCGATTGTCCCCACTTGTGTTTTCGTTCACTACAGCATGATATAATTAAATCCGAAGTAAAATTATTACACTAAGGATATACTGAATTAATTTGTGTTTAGTTTTAATTTAAAGGTTTGATTTTATGCTTATCTAATAATGATCTTTTCATTTTGTAACTTGATAATGTCATTAGATGTTTTACATTCCTAGTACTCAGATGTTATTAGAAATAATGAGCGGTTCGTGTTGAGTCATTGACGCAACTATTCCTGTTATTTAACTGATGAGGACTGGAATTTTCAGTCATGGATTTATCATAAATTAATTTTGAAAAATTATTTTTTAATGGCTTAATCCGCAAATATTCTGTGCAGTATATACAACATACAGTTTACTCTAGTCTAATGTTACTATATCAAGATAGGAAACAATAATTTGGTTATTTATTCTCTGAAGAAGTGGCTTACACTAAGTCACGAAACGTCAGAAAATCTAATTTTCTACTCATTGGGATATTACGAATACATATTATTTTTATTTATAGCAATCAACCCAATGCTCAATTTATTCGAAATTATCTAATCAAACCTTGGTAATGATACCTAGAAACAATAACTGTTCATTTTTAAATTAAAATTAAAAGTTACAAATATACGTAATTCTAATTTTCATTTAAATTTCAGGTTATTCTTAAAGCCTGCAAGGTTTTACCAGTAATGTTTATGGGTAGATTTATTCAAAAGAAACTGTATAGTTGGCAAGAATATTTTACAGCTGGTAAGTAATTATATATTTATATTCAATGTTGGTGTCGTTGTTGACTTATTTTATATTCATATGATCATGTTGGAAGTGTCTAGTGATTGACTTTTGTTTTAACTATATTATGGTATTATCGTTAGTTGTGAATTATCGAAGTTATTGTTTATTAATCATATTTTCATGATATGCCTATTCTAGTACACAACCTCACGATAAATAATGTTTTGTATTCATGAATGTACCAACTTGTAAAAATTAGGTAGATTATAGCTATATGTTTGTATAACCTAAAGAATTCACGTCAGTTTATGGACAGATGAACCTATCGATAGCCAATGTAGTGTATATAAACATCAAGAATCTTATTCAGTGAATGTGCATAACATAAGTCAATTATCCTACACCGGATTTAGTTAATTTACCAATATCACAACACTAAGAGGATATTTATTATATGTGTATATATTGAATTGGGATCTAATCAAAATTGATCTTCACATTTGGATGGTATCTAAATAAGAAAAAATACCATATTATAGCCCCTAAGATAACCACCTGCTTCGGTCTGGGCACTCGGGCAGTATCACAGCCCACACAAATGACTAACTGTCTATATTTATGGAAACTACTTTTCTTGCTTCGACTAACAATAAAATGATTCAAATTATTATTATTATTATTATTATTATTATTATTATTATTATTATTTACCACGTCATTGTCCACCCTCTTTATTCCTACTCTGTTTATACTTATTTTTCGACTTATACAGCAGCTCGTCTATGGTGGAAATTCAACTCTATAAAAACGTTGTCGAGTCACTGTCCGGTTGAAAATTGTATGTTACCGCCGCATATGAGTACTGAAGCAGTTTTTCTGAAACCACGTGCACCATTCAAACCGTCTGCCTTCAACGTTCGCACACTTATGCAGGTTGGACAACAGATAGGCTGGCTATGTCTTTAGAAAGTCTTAATATCGATGTTTGTTGTCTATCAAAGACCGGTATTCAAGACTCTGATGAAGTACTAGAAATTCGCTCTCCATCTGTCGCTCCGAAAAGCTTGTTTTACGCGCGCTTATCCGGGGACACTGTGAAAATTGGGCAACCCTGCCTAACTCCACTGCTCGAATGGAACAATGGAGAAAAGTGGTTGTATGCCCTCACTCTGCCTGAGGTGTTTGTATATAGGGCCTTTAAGATGTTAATAAACTTCTCAGGCACACCCTTCTTCAATAGAGACAATCCCAGAGAACAGTCCTGTCCAACAAATCGAAGGCAGCCCTGATGTCAAGAAACACTACGATTAATGGCTTTTGATAAGTATGGCAGTGTTCTAACATTTGGCGGAGGGTGAAGATATGATCAATACATCCTCGACCAGAACGAAGACCAGCCTGCTCCTCGCGAGTCAATCTTTCTCGGGTTTTGAACAACCTACGAAGTGTGACGGAAGCCAATAGCTTGGACGCAATCGGAAGTAGATTTATCCCCCGATAGTTGTTACAGGAACGGCGTGAACCCTTTTTAAAGATAGGGGAAACTATCGACTCATTCCATGACGTTGGTACACTCTCTAGCTCCCAGACCTTTTTAAACAACGTCGTCAGTTCCTTAGCCAGAAAGAGCTTCCGGTAGTTACCAGATGCAGCTGCTGCTTCCAGCTCATTAGCACGCTCCGACCATCACTATTTTCGATCCTTACGCAAGCTTTGCCCAATCTCCCTACGTAACATACTTCGTTTGTGGTCAAACTCACGGTCACCCGTAGTTGACCGACGGGTCTCGATGAGTCGTAAGGAGCCTGAAGAAACCCAGTGCTTATAAGCAGGACGTTTCGCGAAGCCGCAAGCGACTTTACTCGCCATTTTCTTGGTGTCATGCAATTGCAACCTATGCTCATCTATACTTTTCGGTGGAATGGTAACTAGCCTAGAAGCTAGCTCGGTTTGATACTTAGTTGCAACAGAAGCTGCAATCAATTTACTGACATCAATCCGTTTAGAACGATGAATTTGTTGGCCTCTGAAAGTAAGGTAAAATTGGCGCAAACAAGGGCATGATCAGAGTCCAGATAGGTACTCCAAAAGGAGCGGCAGTATTGTACACAACCACGCCAGCGGTAGCTGATCGCGATGTGATTAATCTGAGTCCAGCCTTGAGATGCAGAAGGAGGACGCCAGGTGGTACATCGGCGATGACTGTGCCGAAAGTTAGTGTTAGCCAGGAACTTGGTTGTGGCCTGTGCACAGTTGCATTAGACGGTCCCCGTTATCTGTCCTGCGACCAACAAGTCCCCATCGGCCACCTAAACGACTCTTTTCTGAGTCTAGACACCCGATATGGCATTCAAACCTGGACTCGGATTAATCACATCGCGATCAGCTACCGCTGGCGTGGTTGTGTACAAGACTGCCGCTCCTTTTGGAGTACCTATCTGGACTCTGATCATGCCCTTGTTTGCGCCAATTTTACCTTACTTTTCAGAGGCCAACAAATTCATCGTTCTAAACGGATTGATGTCAGTAAATTGATTGCAACTTCTGTTGCAACTAAGTATCAAACCGAGCTAGCTTCTAGGCTAGTTACCATTCCACCGAAAAGTATAGATGAGCATAGGTTGCAATTGCATGACACCAAGAAAATGGCGAGTAAAGTCGCTTGCGGCTTCGCGAAACGTCCTGCTTATAAGCACTGGGTTTCTTCAGGCTCCTTACGACTCATCGAGACCCGTCGGTCAACTACGGGTGACCGTGAGTTTGACCACAAACGAAGTATGTTACGTAGGGAGATTGGGCAAAGCTTGCGTAAGGATCGAAAATAGTGATGGTCGGAGCGTGCTAATGAGCTGGAAGCAGCAGCTGCATCTGGTAACTACCGGAAGCTCTTTCTGGCTAAGGAACTGACGACGTTGTTTAAAAAGGTCTGGGAGCTAGAGAGTGTACCAACGTCATGGAATGAGTCGATAGTTTCCCCTATCTTTAAAAAGGGTTCACGCCGTTCCTGTAACAACTATCGGGGGATAAATCTACTTCCGATTGCGTCCAAGCTATTGGCTTCCGTCACACTTCGTAGGTTGTTCAAAACCCGAGAAAGATTGACTCGCGAGGAGCAGGCTGGTCTTCGTTCTGGTCGAGGATGTATTGATCATATCTTCACCCTCCGCCAAATGTTAGAACACTGCCATACTTATCAAAAGCCATTAATCGTAGTGTTTCTTGACATCAGGGCTGCCTTCGATTTGTTGGACAGGACTGTTCTCTGGGATTGTCTCTATTGAAGAAGGGTGTGCCTGAGAAGTTTATTAACATCTTAAAGGCCCTATATACAAACACCTCAGGCAGAGTGAGGGCATACAACCACTTTTCTCCATTGTTCCATTCGAGCAGTGGGGTTAGGCAGGGTTACCCAATCTCTCCATTCCTCTTCAACTTTGCCATCGATGACTTTCTGGAAACAGCTCTGATGGATGTAAGTAATGGCGGTGTAGATCTATTGGCTGAAGAAAGACTTCTCGACCTTGAGTATGCAGATGATATTGTCTTACTGTGCGATAATGCCCAAGCCATGCAATCCGCACTTAATCAGTTGTCAATCAATGTGTGTAGGTTTGGTATGTGGTTTGCACCTTCGAAGTGCGAAGTACTTCTACAAGACTGGCAGGATTCTAATCCTGTACTCTCCCTCGATGGTGAGCAGATAAAAGTAGTTGAGAAATTCGTGTATCTGTGTAGCTGCATAAATGCTGGTGGTGGCGTGAGTGATGAAATCAATGCACGTATAGTGAAAGGCAGAGTGGCTTATGCCAATCTGGGCCATCTTTGGCACCTTCGTGATGTTAGTCTGGCTGTAAAAGGTCGGATCTACAACGCGTCGGTGAGAGCAGTTCTGCTTTAATCTTGTGAGAACTGACCTGCCCGAGTTGAGGACGTTAGACGACTCTCTGTGTTCGATCATCGTTGTCTCCGAAGGATTGCTGACATTCAGTGTCAACACCATATTAGTAATGCAGAAGATCGGCATCGTGTGTCCGGGCTCAGAGACGGCAATGCAATTGGTGTCACCTTCTTGAAACAGTGACTTCGGTGGCTTGGACATGTTTTACGAATGTCGTCCCAGAGAATTCCATGTCGTGCATTATTTGCCGACTCTGGGACTGGTTGGAAAAAGCGGAGAGGTGGTCAGTGTATGACATGGTGGTGGGGTATGAAAGAAAGCTGCAAAGGGCTGACTTCTGTTGGTCCTTCACGACTCCCTTGCTGGGGTCCTAGAGATGGTGCAACACAGTGGCTAGAGACGTTATCAGTTATGACTCAGAACAGAAGCCAGTGGCGATCGTGCTGTAACCTTCTCTTACTTTCATAAAAAATGGTTTTATCTTCCTTAACTGAAAGATTTCTTGTGGTTTTACCTTTTCGTTCCCCCATTATTACTATTATTATTATTACACTACCTTAGACCAATCTCTTCGTTATCGTTTTCCCTTTTTTTACGCTCCTTGCCTTTTTTCTTTTTCCCTCTCTTTAAATTCTCATTGTTTGTGTGGCGCATATATATTTAGCGCACTGTTGTACCAATATTTATGTGTTCAAATAAATAATAATATCTATATTACTTATATGTCCACTGCTGAAATCCTATAAGTTATGTTCTTCTCTCATATCTCAACTTAACCAAATGATACGACACTATTTTATCCCAATTAACTCATATCTGAGTAGGTTAAAACTTGACAGGATACATAGATACTTGAATTATCGTCAAAGGGTTTTAGAGATTGTTGGATCATGAAACGACTGTCCAATGCTTCCAAGTTTCCAACGATTGTCTGACTTAAATACGTCAGTGATCCCAATAAAATATTTGAATGGCTTAACATTCTGCCATTTAGTTCGAGTAAATATTTCGCACTGCACAATAAAAATTCTCATAGCCTACTATAAACTACATAGAGTAGCATTAATATCATATTTTTGTTTCATCATGCTCTACTTGATGGATTTCAAGTTTGTCCAGTTATATTTCCCCGTTTGTCCCAATGTTATTTACTTTAACTGTAGATAATTAACTGTCTCCTGAAAAACTTCTCATCAGTTCAATTCCCTACAACCTTCAATTGTTCAAGTAAAAATAATAAAAAGTTTCCTAGAATGTAACAGGAGAAACTATTTAAAAGTCAATTAATTTTATATGCCAACACTTATCATTGTGTACTTTGTCACAGATTAATCCATAGGACTATATCCTATTGCGTTCGCTCCACATTGTTGACATATATCATGTGTATCATATTATAAAATTATTAATTGTGTTACTATTTCATCTGAATACCTTTTATTCTTTCTCGATTTTTTTTTCCTAAATAAAAAAAAACAATTCCAGCTATTATTTGTTTGGGTATGGTTATGTTTTTTTACACTAATCCTGAACAAACTCAACTTCCAAATGAAAAGATTGATAATACTCAATTTCTATTATCATTTAGTGGATATCTATTGATTATTGGCTATATTGTTTGCGATTCCTTCACATCAAATTGGCAAGATTATATGTTTCAAACATATAAACTCACTTCTTTACAAGTTAGTAAATTGATTAAAATTTCTTTAAGGAAAATGTTATTTTGTTTCACATTAGTTAAGAGATTTTTTATAATATAATTCACTATCTCACTAATATGCATTGAGTATTTTTAACTGTATTATAATACAAATTTTTTTTTCATCTTAAAAATTTGAATCAGTGGTGGGATGAGAACTATTCTTCAACATTCATTAAAAGTACAATATTTTACATTTTCAAAAAAATTTTTGTTCATTTAGTAGTGCTTGAATGCTGTACATAAGAACATAATTTTCACAAGAGATTTCATTTCAATCATGTACTGTTATATAAGTATGTCTTTTATGAACACACCAATGTAACGCATTCCAAGTAAGGTAATTATAAGTTATGACTTGAAATTAAAAATAATTAATACCTTTAAATACAGCATTCATTCACTAAATGAACAGAAGGATGCTCGAAAATGAATATTAAAAAAAAACACAGACGCGCTATAAATTCACAGATACTTATCCTTCAAGAACTGTTCTTCACATTCATCATGAGCTTTTTTTTAAAAAAAGCTATGAGCATGATTCAATCTATTTAGTTTATTAAATTAAACTTACATTGTATTATGACCTGTTATGCATTTTCGTAAGTAAATTTTTGCTCTGACTGTTAAATGAATATTTAGTTCATAATATCTAGTATAGCTTAGGTGCTTCTTGAACTTCTGTTATCATCTTTTGTAGTTCATAGGACTTGTAATTCTTTCGTCCAGTCAATCTAGCTTTCAACCACTGAGTCACACGCTAGTTTTCCACTCCACAAACTCATATTTAAACAGACAAGTGGTGATAACGATGATTATGACTAAACTGTCAAACAGCAAATGAAACTTAACTATAATATTGGCGTCTGAAAACCCAATCCAGAGATGTATCACCTAATTAAGGGCGTAATATTTGTTGAAATGTTTACTTTCTTACAAAGACTGAAAAGTAATTTCAGACCTTCATATAATATTGTGTATAGTATAATTCAAATAACTGTCTCCACAATACAAGTGATCAATCTTCTAGATTAAAACTTCGTAGTATAATGTTTAAACTAGTCAATAATATTAATAAATAATTAATCTAATGTTTAATAGTTAGGAATTAACGATATATTCAAAACTTTTTCCTCACTACTCTATTAACCAATAAATCTCATTTATATACAATTATAGAACTATAACCTTGTTACTGGCTGAGTTATGCATGTCCATTAATCGACATTTATGTCATATAATAACGCAATTACCCAAAAATAGTTGTCGGATCGAATCAATGATAATTTTTTTTCGGTAATTTCAAATTAACCCTTTGTAGAAATAAGCCCAGTTAAAAGGATTAACTTATTTCTTAATACTTTCTCTATTTGTCAAATGGATCGATTAACATGGAATTTGTTTGTTTGCAAAGTACATACTTCCATATAATCACTTTAAGACTTGTAATCTCTATATAACCATAGTGTTCATCCATCTTATTGTAGAGCTGGTTGTTTTGACTGTTTTCACCTCGATAGCTTACGATATAGTATCTACTATTAGCTTCAGCAGTCTCTTCTCAAGCTAATCAATAAATTATTCAAAGAAATTTTTATCAATAAACTATGCAAATTATTGTGACCTTTTGTATGAGAATACATTCTAATAAAAGAGCGAAGAGTGTGTCAGTGTGTACATGTGTACATAAATGTATGAATTGTATAGTACTCATTCTAAATTATTGGAACCGGGTTCTTCATGGAACCATTCCATTAGTAATGTAATTCATACGGATAATAGATTAGTTAACGCCTAAATTACTAAGCATTAAAAAACCCCACTCTATGTACAGAAGTTGATTCACATTTGCTTTACTAATTAGTTACATTATCTTGAATACTTTTATTTTGTTTCAATAGTAGATTATTTCAAGCGGTTCAAGTGTTTCAGCTGAAAATCTTAGTAACTCTTTCACAAAGTAAATTTGTTGCGGATATATATTATGAGAGCGTTACATGTATTTAATTACTTGTCATGATTAGCGACTGAAACCACTATATTACGCTAAATTTCTAGCATTCTTTAGTTGGGAAGCAGTTTTTGGTTACCAAATAACATCATCTAGAAAACAATTAAAACTGGGGATCACTTTACTTTTCAGAAGCGCACACATAGGAGCCTACGTCAAACCGAGCTTGTAATCTCTAGACTTTGAAGCAATAACTTTACCATTAAACTGTTAAGGTCGACACCACTAACCTTCATGTCCTAACATGAGTTTCATCGATGATACTTATTTCACTTACTAGCTGACTATACTAAACAAATTGGCCCACTTTTTTCCACAAAACTAATAGTTCCTTCTATATAAACTACTCTAGTCAATAAATCTATTTTTCGATTAATCCAAGTCAAGGAAAATGTTAGTTTATTTTATCTTCAGTTTATTGATAAGAGATTTCTTCAATAGAATTAAAGTATATCACATAAAACATAGTAATCATTTGCAGGTTTATCCACCAGGCTATTAAACATATCGATTGTTTCATCGTTTATAATGCTGGTCGATTTTTCCGACGTTTTTAACTGGATTGGTGTAATAAAACTGTCAGTTTAAAACTACATATATCACATAAATGCTTGCTCTACAAGCTTTAAAAAATTTCTACTTTGTATTAATGACTTTTTGGAAATCACTTTGTAGCATCTAAACCCAGTGTTTAGTATCTATCCAATCTAATCAAACATTGGAAATCAACTTTATATCTCGTCTAGCCAATATTGTTATAAATTGCTTGTTTTTACTTGTACATTAATTTTTTACCAAAGAAACCCTACACTTTAGCTTTCAGTCTATTTCTTTCTAGGTAATGGCTGGTGTCAATATTTGGTCTATATTTCTCACTTTAATCTCATTAATTGTACATGGTGAATTAATTTCAAGTATACTATTTGGATTAAATCGTCCTAAATTTATTTTCGATGTTCTAACATCATCATTATGTTCAGCATTTGGTCAATTGTTCATTTTCCTTACTTTGTCTCAATTTGGAGCGGCCACATTTGTATTAATCATGACATTAAGACTTGGTCTATCTATGATACTTTCATGTATTATTTTCTCTCATGAATTACATCCGATTGCTATATGTGGTGTAGTGGTTGTTTTCTTTGGTTTATTTTCAAAAATGTTTTTGCGTCAGAAAAAACCTCTTTCACTGGAAACTTGTGGTATACCTGGTGGTAAGTGATGACTATCGATGCATTATTATTTCCTGTTTAAGTTATTCCTCTTCTCTTTTTAATATTCATTTCCTTTTTTCAACTTCGTTAGAAAGATTTCCATGTTCACATGCTATTTGTTGTACTTCTTGTTTTAGGAACCAGAATTCTGTTTATTTGTATATATACATATAAGTATACTTGTGACACATTAAGTCCCTCATTTTCGATTCCTGTCAGATAGGGAATACATTCATGTTCTAATGCTTCTTACAAATCAAAGTTATTCGTTGTCTGTGATATTTTAGCTTACTGCCTTATTATGATGTATGTTTTACACATATCCTAAGAGAAGAAACTTATTATTATTCGTTTATTTATTTTATCATGTTATTTTCCTCTTTCTATATGTATTGTCGAGTAGTTCTTTGATTAAATTGTACTTATGAATATATTTGTATGGTTTCATGTCTTTGAGTTCTAACTGAGATACTTTCACGTTTTTGTTTATTATTCTGTTACTACAATTTACCTATAGATATAGACACTACTTCTACATTGGAAACAAACCAACAAGATTGACATATGTTTCTACCCTCTACTATTTTAGCTAGACGTATTATTGTTTATCGGACGATGGAGAAACTTTTAAAGTTACTGTTTTATACTAACCAGTAGTTAGTTCCATTAGCAATTTACTTCTTTAGATTTACGTTGACCATTCCCATCACCCTGTTCGAGTCGTAGTTTTCAAATCTTTAGTAATGTGATCAAACTCAAAACAATCTCTTACTCCATTTCATTTTTGTAAGAGATTTCGAAATGAAGGCAGTCATTAAAGGTGAACTTCCGTTTGTTTAATAACGAATAATAGTTTTAGGGGAAGAAAACACATCAATTGTCATTGTATGGAGTCTAAAGGTAAGTACCATATAATTGCGATACATTAAAACATTTTGGTTACCAGAGCTTTTCATTCGAATTTCATGCAACATGATACATAATATGTCGGTCCAAGGTTGACATACATTTAACAAGTATGTCATCTGACAATTGTGCGTTAAATATGACTACTATTTTCACCAATACTGATCTCTTGTATCTTTTATTGGAGCTAGATAATATAAACAACTATAGCTGATTGTTTACAATTCCACTCAGTGCGTCTAGCTGATCAAGCGTATGTTGATGAAAGGTCTCAAATTATTAGAAATGAATGATTCAGTGAATTTATATGTTGACTTGAAATATAGGATTAAGGTTCATTTCGATAAACTATACAGAAATGTTTGAGTCAACACTTCCCTAATATCCGTTAAATCATACATCATTTTACCGCTACATAAATCTTCCTATTTACACTGACTTATTGCTCAAATAATCACCCTATGGTCATCCAGTTAGTATAATTAAGCCGTGAATATATATGTTTAGTAAAATAAGCAGTCACAACCAAATGCATATACATCAAGTTGATTATGCCTGTAAACTGGCATGAATTCTGTAATTATTATTTTCAGGATATATTATTTATTGTATTCTGAATAATATAAGCTGCTAATTTATCCACTTATAATCTATATAGTTCTTCCTAGTACTATAAATTTTATTCAGTATCCAAGCTACATCGTTATATTATTAAAAAGACATATTGAGACAAAACGATCTGACTTTAAATAACAATTCGAATAAAACATCTTGGATTAGTGCCCTAGTCTCACCTTACTGCCATGGTATAAGAAAAAATTTTTAATCCACTTTGGAAAGAGACAGAATTAAAGATTTCTATAAAATAAGCAACGCTTTTAAATACTCTAGCTCGAACTAGTGAAAAGATCTCACTTATATATACAGAAAACTGTTTGGTTGTATCGATTGTGATGCGTTTTACGTTAGAGTCCTCGTAAAATTTCGACTCGACTCAACAAACTCTTGAGCTACACAAAAAGACTTCACAATCCCGTGGAACTGAGAAATCCACAATCTAAATGGGCATTAGCAGTATATATTATATTCGATGACCACCAAATCATTGTAAAGAATATCCAAATAATTCAGAAAGGTTTTTCCAACGATAGAAAAGGCGAGTAACCGAAGCGTTTCATATAATGCTAAATCCCTTCCCCTCAGTTAGAAAGAAGTTATACCTATTCATTCAACTTGGACTCTGTCCAAACAACCACATTTGATTCTATTCATTCGTCACACGACCAGCACACACATACCAGCAATTTCAAGCTTAATGCTTCATATAACAAATTTTAAATTTTTCTTACCCATCTCATACTGAATCACCTTGATTAAAATTAACAATTACATGGGCACGTTCATACCTATTATGGTTTTGATTGTACTAAAGATATTCTGCTTTGCTTCATTTGTACTATTTAAACTTGTTTCAATTTTATTTCAGTCATTTATTTATATACTCTGAAGAAGTGACTTAAATCACAGTGTCAAGAATACAGATTTCATTAGGATATCACGAAAAATATATTTATCATTAAAATCGTTATTGTTTTTATGAGTAATTGTGTAGTAATAATTTCTAATAAACACGTTTTTATTACACAGGGATTTGTTAAAAGTCAGAGTGTTTTTGAAAACTGTTTTCTCCAAATTTAAGACTGTCGGGACTTATGTATGAACGAACCTATGAACTTCAGGTATCATGGGTAAGCAAATGAAAATACTGATTGTAGATCTAGGTATCCATAGTGAAAAATTCAGTCACTATTATAACTTGATTCTTATCCGACATCAATAGTGAGCTACTCTTAACCTGAAGTTGACTCTAAAAATTCCAGTTTTTGGAAACTTTTCTCAAAGTTATCCACTAATGGACATGCTACTATTAATGGATTACGTAGTTTTGTATAATTTGGAGTAATTTTCACAAGTCTGAGGAGTTATTTTTCCCTAAAAACTAATTACTGAGCATTTTACTCTACAATCCCTTCGAAAAACCTTACCTCATTTAATATTCAAACCAGAAATATAATTAACACAAATTCTTTGTAGTTTTAACTCATTCAATTATACAATAGGACTATAATGCATAACAACTTATGAATCTTACTTTTATAATCCTTCATTCATACCGGTCAGTGTAATAGTGTCAAATCAGTGTCATTCGTATGTTGTGTTTCATATAATTTACTTGGTCAAACGAATTTCGATTATAATCTCGTGATCATAATTTATCCGATACATTAGTTAACGGTTATCAGAAATATTAGTTCAAAATAATATTTAATTAAAATGTCCTGAATAAGTCAAACCCTGGTCATAGCTCAGATATTGAATCTATTTCTAATGCATTTCATAGTGAATAATGTGGCAAATGAAACTCTTAATCGATTTATTATTAAAGCAATTTCAAAAAGTTATGAAGAAGCAAATAGCATTGCTAATGTTTCACATACCGTTGGAGATTTACTATCGAAATGCCCAGGAAATACGCTGATATCATGTCTAGAAATTTCATCTCTTATTCCACGATATCCTAAAAGGTCATCAGCATATTTACTTGATTAGTTTGTATTACAAATATGCAGGTAATAAGAAGGCGTTGTTTGTTTTGAACAATGAAATATGTTTCTACAGGCTATTTCGATCGGTTCGACCATAAAATACATGTAACAGATAATTATTATGAATACATAAAAAGATATACGAAGCTTAAAATCAAGTGTGAAGTCCAAAATAAAGGTTGTAATAATAATGAGATTAGCGGGAAAAATAATAATACGAAGTTAGAGGCCATATTACAAAAAACAGATTTTTATGTAATGGTAACTACTTTTAGACACAATTAGATTTAGCTACCTCAATAAAATTAATAGTATTCTGAACAAGTATCGTTGATGATTTTGAAAGACACTTTCAAGTTAACCTTACTAACACTGATGGTAAATCAGTCGATGAGGTTGTAAATCTTAATCGACTAAGATGGTTGGGCCACATCTTACTTATGCCTGAACACCGCTTACCACGACACGCAATGCTGACTAGTGATGGAGACGGCTGGAAGAAAGTTAAGGGCGACCAAACTATAACTTGGCATCAGTCATTAAAGTTACTGACTTCTAGTCTGAGCCATGTTGGTTAATGCAAACTACTTGGTTGGGGTCCGTGTGACTATCGTAACCAATGGTTGCGTACTTTGGGTGACATGGCTCAGAATCGATCACGATGGCGTCGATGTATACACTCTATCTTTCCTTAAATCGTGAGATTAAAATTGCTTTACACCTTTCTAATTTCTTCCTGTACTGTATCCTTATATACAATCTTTCTTTTATATATTACTACCGTTGAAGTAACTACTATGAATTTGATGCTCATCTTGTGCTAATGAGGTATGGCAACTTGGACGGATGCATATATGTGCCCGGTCCTACGTTGTAGCTGACTACTAACACTGTTGATATAACCGTGCTGCTGAGATTAAAATTAGTTTGCACTCGTTACTTATGAGGAAAAACTGTCCTCAATATTATCTAACCGTTCGAAACATTTTTTGGAAAACATAAGATATTAGATATCATTACCAAGGTTTGATTTGATAATTTCGAATAAATTAAGCATTGGGTAGATTGTTATAAATAAATAATATATTTGTAATATCCCAATGAGTAGAAAAATTAGGTTTTCTGACGTTTCCTGACTTAGTGTAAAACACTTTTTCAGAGAATATATAACCACATTGAAATTAATCCAAGTTTAAGTAGTACGACGGGACAGCACGAATATTATGTGATCAATCAAAAAATAGGTCTGAATAAATCAATGTCATGTCATTACGGTCAAGGTGATTCGTAAGCTTCATGTATGTGAATATGTGCGTGTCTATGTGTGCACTCTTAGGGATGAAAACTGTGTGACCTTTATGGTGAGAAAGGATAGTGTTTAATTTTTAAGATAATGGTGTGAATTGTAAATAATATCAGACTAGGTGGCTAGGATAGATAGTCCAAGCGGGATGTATGGTAAGGCCTTCTTTTCTATTGAGTGAAGTAGGATTAATCATGAGCTCTACTGAAATAAAATGGTAATATTTATACACATGAGATGTATGTAACTTCTTTCACCTATAGTTCACTTGCTAGTCTATATATATATATGGTATACAGCTAGTTTAGTTAGTCATTATCGTACAATTTATGCTAAGTTTCAATAGATTACAATATCACATAAACCGGGGAACGAAACGAACTCAGCAACACAATAACATGATAATCTGAACTATTCCAATGCTCCCTATACCTGCTAACTAGAAAAAAAGACTAGGTCCAGCCGAAGAAAATGTATATTTCACAAAGTCGGAAGCGCGAACGAATCAGAACAGAACTCATGAGTATACATGCAGCATAAAGATTTCATCGGAAAACGTTACAAAATAGCGCATTAACGGATTTATTTGAACACATAAATATTGGTACATGGGGGCACCAGATGCATATGCGCCACACACTTACACCTGTTACCCCTCGGTAAGGAGCATAGGCCGCCTATCAACACTCTCCATCCAACCCTATCCCAGTCAATCCTTTTTAGTCGCTATTCATCCTGTTCACGTCTGCTTCCAATTCTCAGCGCAGTATGTTCTTCGGCTTTCCTTTTTCCCGTTTCCCTTCAGGATTCCAAGTTAGGAATTGCCTCGTGATTTAGTTTGATTTTTTCCTCATTGTGTCATGTTCATCTCCACTGTCTTTTCATAATTTCCTCCTTATCTGGAAGTTGGTCTCCTTCCTTCCATAGTAGGCTATTGCTGATGGTATTTGACCAACGGACACTGAGTATCTTACGTAGACAGTTGTTTATAAATAATTGTACCTTTTTGATGATGGTTGTGGTAGTTCTCTAAGATTCAGCTCAGTACACTGGGACTGTCTTAACATTCGTGTTGAAGATTGTGACTTTAATATTGGCCGACAGTTGTTTTGGGTTCCATATGTTCCTCAATTGTAGCAATGGGGCCCTTGCTTTGTCAGTCCGCGCCTTTACATCTGCATCCGATCCTCCTTGTTAATCGATGATGCCGTCTGAGTACGTAAGATTCCAACTCGTCCAGATTTTCTCCATCAAGTATGATTCGATTGGTGTCCTCTATGGTGTATTTGAGATTTTCCTTTGAGTATGTTGCAGCTCACTGATGCAGGAGCTGCTGCTACACTATTTGCGTTGACCAGCATTGTTGCTGTGTATGCGACAGAAGGGCCAGGCCATCTGCGAAGTCCAAATCGTCTAGTCACATCCAACCTGTCCATTGTATTCCGTGATTTCTCTCAGATGTCAAAGTCTTCATAATGCAGTGGACCACCAGAAGGAAGAGAAAGAGGGAGAGTTTGCAGCCTTGTCTGACTCCAGTCCTCACTTGAAATGCATCTGTCAGTTTTCCTCCATGCACGACATCGTACTGTAGTCCGTCAAATGATTTCCGGATGATGTTGACGATCTTCTCATGTACTCATCATAGTGTCGGAGAAGTTTCCATAATGTTCTTCTATCCACACTGTCAAATGCTTTCTCATAATCAAGGTAGTTGATGTATAGTGACGAGTTTCACTCAACTGATTGTTCAACGGTGATCCATGGTGTGACGATTTGGTCTGTGCACAACCGATTCTTACGGAATCCAGCCGGTTGATATTTGCAATTACCTCTGTATCTGACGACAGAGTTTCAGCTGGTGTATTGTCAGGTCCTACTACCTTTCCAGGCTTGATTTGTCTGATGACTGGCCTTCCTGATTCCTTCGATCGTTGGTAGAGTGACAGATGTAGATAGAGATGTGTGTTCTGCTTTGGTGTCCAGTGGATTCAGTGGAGCTGGTCTATTCAAGAGTTCCTCAAAGTACTCTACACATCTGTTCCTCCGTTCTTGAATTTCAGTGATTGTCTTACCTTCTTTCTCCTTGACCAGCCGCTCTGGTTAACAATATTTCATTGTTAGTTTCTTCGTTTTTTTCATATAGCTGTACCAAATGAGTAATTATAAGCATGAAATAAACAGCAGGTACTCTCACTAAGTGTAAGAGTTATTTATGTAGTGAGCCATGAAACATTTAGCGATTGAAAGTTAGGCATATGGATCAATTTCTAGACTAAAAAGGAAAGGGATTCATCACAATCCGGAAATAATGTCCTGTTAGTAACGCATAGAATAGTTACAGAATTATTGAATTAACTATAAATATTGTCCACTCAAGAAATAGTGCAACTGGCTATCTTTTTGATGTTGTAAATCCTCCTATCAAATGGAAAAATAAAGTATTTATCAATCATAAATATTTTCAATCATTCAAATACACTAGGTTCAATTAACGACACAATCACTCATCATGGCCGTCCTGAGAAATCAAAATTTAAAGAAAAGAAGAGGTGAAGTCATATTCGAATTCTTAATGATGTCATGGAATTTAGTGAGATTCGGAAACCAAAAGATAAGTTAAATAAACTCGAACATAGAAAGTAATGGAAGCGATGTCCTAAATACAAAGGAAAAACAAATGCATACACAGCAAATGATTTTTAGTTACCCATTGTTCAGACTCATGTCAACCAAGGGGTAATTATAAATTCTACACCACTACTGCGTAGAGAAGCTACTGGAACCTTTGTAAACCTGTAGTCAGTAAATGGAGCCTTTGATCACGCATATAATGTAATACTTCATTGACGTTTTCCGTTGTGTTCATTTAATGATACCTCGAGCATTGTAAACTAGTAACTTGCTCATTGAAAAAAACCTCGAATTGTAGGAAAAGATTTAGAGGATTGAAGCTAGGTTGGTCCCTTAGGTAGACGTTAAGTGGTTCAAGCAAGCATACTCCAGTGGAGAAGCAAAATGATGATGGCTTTACGGTTACTTATCAACACTTTTATACTCGAAATCCCTGTAAGTAAATCCCAAAAATAAATACATTTTTAAGTCCTCGACATTTGATGCTGACCCCATCACTTTAATGTACACATGCTCATATGTGTGTATTGTCATTAAAAAAAAACAGGGTTTCTTGTTGTTGCTAATATGCTTGCTTATATTTGTATATTTTAATTTTTCGAGAAGAAAAACAGGGAAATCACTCTATGAAAACTGTTTTCACGTTATTGCATGTCTATGAAACGCATGTACAAAAGTTTATTTTCCTTTTTTCTCCCGTTTATGCCTTTACGCATGTACAGTTGTAATTCGACATGCACTTACAGATTCTTCTTTTTCTTTTCCAGGACGGCTGGAAAAGATAAAAAACGACGATTTTTACGATGAATCGAAATTTTCAGTGTACCTATTTCTCATTACCATATTGTACCACATAATCTCTTATAGTATGGAAATACGACCAGATGCCGTTGAACGTAGCATGTTATTAGGAGTGTTTACTAACTACAAACTCGCTGAGTTTAAACTTCTGGCTGGCTACGCGTTAGGGTCATCCTAACCCTACTACAGCAGGGAGTAATATATAGAGGCAAATTAATCCCAAACATCAATAGTTCTGTAGGTCTTCGACATTCGATGCTGATCGCATAAATTTTAATGGACTCACTCACTTATCCGCATCAGATCACAAGTGGGTACACCGCGCCTCAGGTCTCCTACAACCATTAGCCGGCTTAGAATGATCACTTCTCGATATGTCGATGTCCTTTCAAATATAACTCCGAACCTCTTCACTTCTGACTTCCTATGTGATTGAGTTTGCATACTATGACTATGAAATTGCTACTGCTTAAGGCGTTGTCAAACACCGAATACTTGTAACACATTTATGCCTTTATTTTTATTGACTTTCGGAACAGATGATTCACAAGAGCGTTAAAAATCTTCTGGAATCACAGACTCAGATCCTTGTCGGCTGATTCTTATCACTTCATTAACCTCTGAGGCTCCGGATTCCGGAGTGTGTTCGGGATTTGTCTGTGTATTGAACATAATTTTAGGTCAAATAAGAAACTTTCACTTCTAAAGCAAATTAAAACCATTCAAACCCAAATCCTCAACAATCTGAAATTCAAACTAAGTGGGGAATTTAGTGTTACGCTTGCTGTTATAACCAAGAGCTGATTGGGAATCGAACAACTGAAGCGCGTGATATCTTCTAGTATCAACGTGGACTTATCATTACTGTACTTTAGACACTGGTCACATTGATATCGGTAATTTAGTGTTTGACCTTGCAGTTATTATTATAAATTTTCCGTCATTTTTGTCGCAGCTGCCTTTCGGTTGCTAAAAGGCCGTGTGATACAGTTAATAGTATCAACTTTGTATTCCAGTTTAGTTTTACATGTCTGATCTTTTCTCAAAGCTCGTCAAAGAATCGTCAAAAATTACGCGTAGTGACGTCATTACTGTTTATGGGTTGTGTTCCTCAAAGTGAATGATCAGGTCTAATCTCTTTGAGTGTAATTTATTGCATTTCTCCAAAATTTTCTATAGCGGCTTCCTCAAAACAGATAGGATTTTTCCAGAAATAGGGCAATTGCGTAGCTATAACTTCGCAATATATTCGAATATTTTGATGAACAGTTCGCATTGTACAACCTAATCTAACCCAGTGGTAGTATGACTTGGCAAACAGTAAACTCGGGAATCAAAGATCGTGAGTCTTGGATTTTAACACGAAATTCATTCGCCTATACGGTTAAATAATATTTCGGCATTATAGCTGGTGTAAGTTTGTGATGTGAACCCTTACTTTATTTCCTAATCTTAGATTCTAAATCTTAGTTCCTCAGACTAATTTATAACTCTCTTTTGACCCTCGCAAGTAGGTGGGTTGTCCTAGGGTTCCTTTAGCTTCACCTAAAGGCCATTTACTTAATTATGGTTTCACTATCCATAAATCAGTTTATTTACCGAGGCGTTATGTATTTCGTACAGTGATACCGCAAGCTGAAATAAGCGAAACTGTGTTCTCACCTAAAACCTGTAAGTTAAAAGCCGACGATTTCAACTTTTGTACTTAAAACCCACTATCTACGTGATAAGGGTACCCTGATGTTTGTCGAATGTGATTTTCGTTTCATGCACCTTTTATTACATGTTTCAAATGTCAAATTTAAGGGTTATGTTAGTTACGTTTGATTCTTTGTAGTTTCCCTATATGGATATCAACTTCCTTGTAAATTTAAAGCGTTAACATCGAAAGCCAGTCTTAAAAGGTTTTACTAAATCGTAGCAACCATCTCAATCTGGTTACTATTGTCATCTGGTGCTTAATGATACACAGATAAAGCAAGTTAGTATACAACATTCAGTTTCCTTTTACTTTGTATTATCTGGAAATTCGCATCACTTTTTATCCTGGAACTTTCAATATCTCTGAAAGTATTGCTGAAAACAGTATTTTACCTACTGTTCCTACTTGCTGATTAACCAGCACATAACTAACTGTAACTACTAGCTTATTGATTTCAACGTCACCACGATATTCTGGATTTATTTTTTTGGTTGAAATTCGTTTGTATCCATAGGAATTTAGATTCCTTGTGGAATTTCTTTAGTTTCTAATGATTTTATGACTTTTCAACTAGCTCGAGTCCGGCTACACATCCCATTGCTTTTAGTAAAACCTTAAACATTGTTGACCGTAATGAATGCTTCATGGTGAAGTACAACTAACAGTTTATCTAAGTTTTGCGTATTACTATTATATAGGTACAGTTATAACTCAGGAGTATTAAGAATTTATATCTCTGTCGTTCAGTCTTGGTTTTCGATCTTATTTATTTAAACTCAAACATTCGTACGCGGCACCACATATATATATGCGCCACACAAACCATTTGGTTTGTGTAAGGGCTGGAATGCTGCCCGCATGCCCAAACCGAGGTAGATGATTTTCTTAGGGAACCGCCCTCTGAGCCTTTGAAGTCTAATCCACAGGGCAGTGGAACGTTGTTAAGAGATGCAGTCCCATGGTAGCTGGTGACAAACAATAGGTTCATGCCCCAATTGAAGTCACGCTTGGAAAATTTTGAAAACAAGGCTGACGCAAATGTTCAGTCCGTCATTTGTTGAAATCATATGTCAATTGAAGCTAGACTACCCCAAAATGCCCTGGTATGGCCGAGAGTAGGGAGAGTCCGCTCTCCCTCTCGAAATGCTCTCACACGACCACGCGTATATAGCCTCTGCCAGGGAAGTCCTACTCACTGCCTTCTCGTGGCGGGGGTGTTGTTTTCGAAAATGAGAGGACAGAAAGCGAATGTCCGGCGCTTTAACCGGATCTCAAACCAATGGTGCACATTGGCTCCAGTAACCTGAGTGAACAAATGGCGTATGAACCAATCGTTGGTCACCGGCTACTAAGGGAATGCATCTCACGATGCTCCACTGTCTTGTGGGTTAGACCTTTAGGTCAAAGGCTCGGGGTGTGGCCCCCTAAGACAACCACCTGCTTCGGTCTGGCACCCGGGCAGTATCACAGTCCACACACACAAATATGGTGTGGCGCATATATATTTGGTGCCCTCTTGTACGAATATCTGTGTTGAAATAAATAAATAAATCAGTCCGTCATTCAGCTACAGCGTAGGACCCGGCACATTTATGCATCGGTCCAAGTTGCCATACCTCATTGTCACAAGATTAACACTGAATTAGCTACTTCTATAAATTTAATGGTGGTGATACATAAAAGAAAGATTGCATATAAGGATATAGTACAGGAAAAAAAATTAGTCCATAGAAAGAAAGGTGTTGCTTTGAAAGATATACGAACGGCTGTGGAAACTTAAGCGACATATATTAGGGATTTTAAGCAGAGGGTTTTGAAAAACCAGTGGTTTTCCGCGATACCCACCACCCTAATAGAATCCCGTAAGCTTATCCCATCAGACTCCGAACACGACGAAGAGTGTAAACAAATCAGATCTAGGTTAATCAAAAGTCTACAGAATGATCGTGAGCAGTGATGAGCAACAAAAGCAAACGGGATGGAGAAGGCAGCGTCTGTAGGCAACATTAAACAGCTTTGAGACTAATAAAAGAAACCCGAATTAAGAAGTCAAGTGTACGTGAGACAATCTCGGAAGAAGGTGGCACACTTATCAGCTCTCAGTGTTGACGTTTGGAACTTTGGACGGAGCAGTAAGGAGCAGTTCAGCTGGCCTTCAGCTACTCTACAGCTACCCACCACTCCCAAATAGCCTCAATGGAATATGGAAGTAGGTCCCCCGACTCTAAAGTTCAAATAACTGTAGCTTATGCGAAACAACAAAGAGCAGCTGGTTCAGATGGATTAACTCCAGAGGTCTTTAGGAATGTTGGTCCAGTTTTAGCGGTTAGGTTGACTAATATTTTGTTTAAAATTTGGGAATCGAACGTAATTCTGTCTGGTCGCAATCACTGATTGTCCCAATATATAAAAAGGATTAAAATCTTCATGTGGTAACCAGAGAGGGATTAGTTTGACTAATATAGCATCTAAAATACTAGCCTCAACTGTTGTTGGACGCATAACAAAGAATCATAAACTGCAAACACGCGAAAATCAGGCTAGTTTCTGACCTGCTCGTGGCTGCATCGACCACATATTTACGTTGAGTTAGATTTTAGAACACAGGCATGTTTATCGGCGTCCGACAGTAATAGTTTTTCTTGACTTAAAAGCAGCATTTGACTCTGTAGACCGAGAGGTTCTGTGGCAGTGTTTGTCATTGAAAAGTGTGCCTCAGAAATACATTAACCTTGTGAGTGCTCTTTACTCGAATACTATTAGTCGAATCAGAGCTTATAGCGAACTGTCATCTGATTTTGCAACCCCAAGTGGTGTCCGACAAGGCTGTCCACTATATCCATTTTTGTTTAACTTCATCATAGACCTACTGCTGGAAATAACTCTCGTCGACAGAATTTTCGGGCATTGATCTACTTCCAGGAGGTCCGCTTATCGACTTAGAATACGCAGATGACATAGTCCTGTCTGGTGAAGACTCTGAGTCAATCTTTCTCGGGTTTTGAACAACCTACGAAGTATGACAGAAGCCAATAGTTTGGACGCAAGCGGAAGTAGATTTATCCCCGATAGTTGTTACAGGAACGGCGTGAACCGTTTTTAAAGATAGGGAAAACTATCGACTCATTCCATAATGTTGGAACATTCTCTAGCTCCAAAACCTTTGCAAACAACGTTGCCAGTTCCTTAATCTGAAAGTCACAACCATCTTTAAAAAGAGCCGGAGGTAGGCCATCTGGGTCCAGTGATTTATAGCGTCCCTTGCGGACTTCCGCCTCATTTGGTGGATCGGTCGTCACCGGCCATGGAGGGCAGGACAGTCTGATCGATGTTGCCGGAGCAGCAGGCTAGTTGAACTGCCTTTCGAAAAATTCTGCCCATCATCCAAGACGTCGATGGATGTTAGTGATTGGCATCCCGTCATCCTCACAGATTGCTTCGCTCATACCAGACTTCTTGCTGCCAGTGGCTCGGATGAGTTGGAAGAGCTTCCGGTAGTTACCAGATGCAGCTGTTGCTTCCAGCTCATTAGCACGCTCCGACCATCACTATTTTCGATCCTTATGCAAGCTTTGCCCAATCTCCCTATGTAACATACTTCGTTTGTGGTCAAACTCACGGTCACCCGTAGTTGACCGACGGGTCTCGATGAGTCGTAAGGAGCCTGAAGAAACCCAGTGCTTATAAGCAGGACGTTTCGCGAAGCCGCAAGCGACTTTACTCGCCATTTTCTTGGTGTCATGCAATTGCAACCTATGCTCATCTATACTTTTCGGTGGAATGGTAACTAGCCTAGAAGCTAGCTCGGTTTGATACTTAGTTGCAACAGAAGCTGCAATCAATTTACTGACATCAATCCGTTTAGAACGATGAATTTGTTGGCCTCTGAAAAGTAAGGTAAAATTGGCGCAAACAAGGGCATGACCAGAGTCCAGATAGGTACTCCAAAAGGAGCGGCAGTCTTGTACACAACCACGCCAGCGGTAGCTGATCGCGATGTGATTAATCTGAGTCCAGCCTTGAGATGCAGAAGGAGGACGCCAGGTGGTACATCGGCGATGACTGTGCCGAAAGTTAGTGTTAGCCAGGAACTTGGTTGTGGCCTGTGCACAGTTGCATTAGACGGTCCCCGTTATCTGTCCTGCGACCAACAAGTCCCCATCGGCCACCTAAACGACTCTTTTCTGCGCCTAGACGCCAGTCCTGAGCATTCAGGTCTCCGGCTAGTACTACAATATCTGTTGAACGCACTTTCCGAAGAACAGTTAACTGGTGATAGAATTCATCCTTGATTGCATCCGGCTGCAATCTGTCGAAGCATAGGCGGAGATGACGAAAAGACATCGTTTCTCACACCGATCTCTTCTTACTTTGATGGAACTTTCTAATCAAACAGCACATAACCGGCTGTTAATGGGAATCCAGTCGATTACTGCTTGCTCAGCTCTAGCGCTTAGTGCGACACCAACGCCAGCAAAACCAGATGAAGATAGTTTTGAGGTAGTCGAACTCGTCGACTACTTATCTTAGAAATCTGATCAGCCCTAATGGGTTGGTGTCTGGCAAAATCTCTGCACGGATTCAAAAAGCTCGTTTGGCTTTTGACAACTTACGTCATCTATGGCGAAGACAAGAAAACCGTCATATCAGTTAAGGGGCGAGTGTACTGCGCAGTTGTTCGTTCTGTCCTACTTTACGGCTGCGAAACGTAGCCGCTATGAGTAGAAGATACTCGTAAGCTACTAGTACGTGATCACAGATGCTCAGAAACATTGTTTGCATCTGCTGGAATCACCGGGTAAGTAATAGTGAGGTTAAACTCAAGGTATTAGGGGATGATGATTAATCATTTGGTAAAGTTGTGAATCTGCATCAACTGAGATGGTTGGGCCACGTTTAACTTATGCCCAATCACCGACTGCCACGGCACGCAACTCTCACAAGTGTTAAAGATGGATGGAAGTTAGGGGCGTCCAGATCAAAACGTGGCATCAGTCTACAAAGTCACTAACTTGTGGTTTGAACCATGTTGTTAGATGCAGATTACTTGATTGGGGTCCTCGTGACTAACGTAAACAGCGGTTAGAGACTGAGCGACATGGTTCAAAATCAATCACAATGGTGTAGGTGTTTATACTCTGTCTTTCCTTAAACCATGAGACTAAAATTACTTTATACCCTTCTTTCTACGAACTAATTATTTCTCCCTGTACTGTATCCTTATATGCAACATTTCTTTTATATATTACTACCATTGATGTAACTTCTATAAATTTTGTGATCGATTTGTTGTGCTAATGAGGTGTGGCAACTTGAACCGATGTATATATGTGCCTGGTCCTACGTTGTAGCTGACTGACTGACTGGTACCATTTGTCCTCTCATGATCCTGTTCTCCATATGCACCATTGGTTTGGGGTCAGGGTTCTCGAACTCCCCTGTGTGGGTCCTCCATATTCAGCAACCCCAGTTAAAGTACTGGACAATCGCTTTTCACCCTTTCACTTTCGTAAGCAACGCTCCCTCCACAAGGTAGTGACTAAAACTTTCTTGATAGTGGCTGTATACGCGTGGCCATGTTAGAATTTCAAGAGAGAGAGAGCGGATTCTGCCAACCCTCGGCCGTACCAAGGCATTCCGGGACAAAGTTTTTCGACCCCATCCAATCTACTTGGAATTTCTTTGTTATATACTGTTGTCAACTTTGTGATGCCTGTGTAGTTATTTGTTCAGTGTTCAGACTTATACATTATTAATTTTATTCTCTCTACCTTTTAACATCGGCTGATGTCAATCTCAACAATCCTGTTCCCTTTATTATTTGACGATAATCAAAAACATTAAGGAAAAACTAAAAGTAATAAAAGTCAGGTCTTGATGCTGTTTGAGTAGCTTTTTGTGTGGCTTACCTTCCTCATATAGCAAAATAATCAGTGCTAACGACCACGTCTATACATCTACTGTTTTGTAGCGGGCTTAATACAGTTTAGAAGAATTTGTTGTAGACACTGTTCGTCGTTACTTCATTTGTTAATATATTTGGTAAAAAAATGAGTAGAATGAGTTCTCAAGATTCTGAAAACCCGGAATAAATACGTTCTGTTGTGACTGTTTTTAGGAAACAACATACAACTTACAGTAGAACATGTATAATTTGATGGCTTCCTATTTATCTAGTTTTGTAGCGTTTTCGTACTGTTTTATGAACTAAAGTCGAGCAGTTTGTCCCTGAATACTTTGAACGTTTTAGTGGCTATCGTAATAATATCTGTAGAGTCATAAGGTATTTAAAAAGACCCTCATAAATACGTTGAACTTCTCCATTTCATATGTTACTGTAAATTTGCGAGTCTTAAGAATAATATGGACGTCCTAATTAATGTACAATTTTCCATTCACATCCCTTAATATTTTCATTATTCTTTAACATCATTGTACTTAATAAGGTCGGATAACGATTCCTTTTGGTTTACATTTTTTACAGCATATAAAATTATTGAGAATGAAAAGTCTCAAGTAACTAATCATTTTGTACAAATCAGCTACTCTGTAAATTAAGTGTAAGTCAATTATTTTGGGTTAAATGCTAAGTCGTCGTATCACTACCTGAGCTGTGTTGAGTTTTGATGTGACTATCTGTTTCTAAAGGAACGCTTACAAAAAAGTCATCAGAGGTAACTTGAAATGTTAATCAATCTTCATTGATCATCCTAAGGGGTTATCATTTTTCATGATCAGCTTTTATGCGATCAACCTTGAAAGGTAATTTAGATGTATACATAACCACTAACTAGCGTAAACTACTGATTAGATTTACTTATCTTTAAATATTCAGTAGTCGTATCATAGTGTGACAAACTAAGTAAGACTAATACTTAGATGATGGAGAGTAGAAAATTCAAACCCTTCGATACAGTCATAAACTTTAACGAAGACTTCATTTCAGGTAGTTTTTAATTCGAATTGAATTTATCCAATTTTAGATTCCGAAGTACACATTAAGACAAGTTCTCCAAAATATGGTTTTTGTAGCTATCCAGGTACCAAAGAAGAAAAGGAATCGCAGTCGCTAAATAGTACTGCTGCTCTCGGATCATTCGTTCAGGGTCGGGACAGAAGCCGAAAACTTTTAAATTCAAATGTTAATACAAATCTTCAGAGTCCTGAAAACAAAAACTTATTTCAAAACTCATGTTTCCCCAGTGAACCGTTAAAATTCATAGGTTATCGACCCATATTCGGTTCTGCGAATTATATTGACTTATGTTCTTTCGATGATCATAATCGTCTCAAATCTTTTGAATTATCATTTCTAGGTGTTCCTCTCCTCAGTTCTTCGACCCATTCCTATTATTCAGATGAACGTATTTACAACACTACCAAACAACAAACTATGCTTGTATCAAGTTCTTTTACCAACAAGTCCAAAAAGGGATGTGTAAGATCACTTTCTGAATTATCGCTTCAACACGTCTGTCATAAGGGAAAAAGAAGTGAAACTGAAGCAGGCGTTCATTTATCTTGTAATCATTATGAAAAGGAACTGAATTACCTTCGGCAGGAACTTATGGCGCGCAATGAAGAGGCAGAAAAGATTGCGCATGAACTTATGCATGCAAAGAATGAAGAAAAACAATTTGGTGGTCATTTACGCGAACTAACAAAAGAGGGTTCTGCTAAGACAGATACTATTAATAAGTTAAAAGAAAAAGTTTCTGAGCTATATGTTGAAGTGGAATCCCTTCGACATTCTCATCAACAAGCCATCTGTCACCAAGAAGATTTACAGAAGGAGATCGACATTTTGAAGTGTTCACGTGATTGGTACGCTAATCAGCTTCGTTCGGTTCAGTGTGTCAGTGATCGTGTTCAAAATGAACCTGAAAGAATTGTCAACTTACTAAAGGATAGCAGTGAAATGAATCATCGTCTGGCACATGAAATGCTTGTTTGCGAGCTCAGTTAGTATGTAGCAAGGCCGCCTTAGCTGATGCTAAACGAAATCTCTCTCGCCAGTTAGAGTCTATCCGTGTTGACATGGTAGAACGTGAAGCCCTTTTTGAGCGTATTACTGCTGAACGAGCTTTGTTTGAGAACATCAGTCGTCAGCGCGCTGATGAGATAAGGGAGTTACAGACTCAGGTGTCGAATTTTCAAATGGAACTTAAGGCTACTGAAGAGCATATCTTGCTTCAGAAGAACAAGCTGTTGGATGCTGAAGGAGCCTTGGCAGTCGCAGAAAGAAAGCGCAGTGAATTACAAAACCAGTTAGAATCCTTTGAGAGAGAACATTTTACGAAGGAAAACTATCTAGATGATCAATTCTCCAAATATGGTATCATCTTAGAAAGTTTGAAGGTTTATGAAAACGGAGATAATAGTAAGGGCATCTTAATTGATGAGATTCTAGAAGAAAAAGCCACACTCACTGCAGCTCTCTCAGCATCACAATATGAAAAAGAGACATTGAATAAATACTTGATAAATTTGAAGGATAACTTGTTCAGAGTAGAAAAAAGTTTTGTCATCCTTAGACGTGAAATCGAATCCAAGTCTGCACAAATTATGGAGCTCACCACTCAACGAGACAGTATGGCTGACAAAATTAAATTTCTTTCCGACCAATTAAGTGATTACTGGAATGTGATTGGAAAGTTAAGACAAGAAAAAGAGAAATTAAACTCTTCCTTAAAAGTTTCGCTGATGGAAACCGAAAATTCCCACAACAATCTAAACAAATTAGATTTTTCACTCCAAAAGGCTGATGGTGACTTTAAAACTGTTGCTAAAGTAAAACATGTAGGAACGAGTTCTCTTTTGCCGAGTCAGATAATTAACAAACAACTTACACTAGAGTCGCAGACCATTCATTACTTCCCAGTTGCAGTGCCGACCTTTCAAAGTCAACCAAATACTACTTCTCTACCGTCTTCAGTAAATAATTTTAGTACCTCGGATGCTACACATTCTTTAAACATTCAAGTGAATGAAGATAGTTGTTGGCAAATTATGGATTTTAAAAAAAGATTACCTAGTGACGCTGTTTGTGATGTAGCTCCAATTTCGCAAAATACAATCGGTGTACCTGATTCTAATTACGATACTCAAAATAACGGCTCGAACTCACAGGAGAACTATCCCACAACACCTTTAAGTTCTGATAAAAATATATTTGGTCAACGGATCCTTCGTCTTTAGTTTCTGCCCGTGTTTTGTCTTCTTCATACGAGCAAAACCAAATGGGATTAAATCAAACAGTTCCTAATCCAAATAGTCAGTGTTATTTTGATAACTGGCCATATATACAGCAGTTACCAGATTACCAGAATATTGCTAATATGGATTCTGGCCTTCACCTTTCAGACACCCATATAACAACCAATCAAATATATTCTTCATATTACCAACAACGTAATATGCCTTATTTAAATCTATATTTACACGATAATCTGAACCATACTGATGAGTATAAATTCAATGTACAACAAGATAATTCGTACACGTGTCTATCTAAAGACGAATGTTCCTCGGATTTTAATTGTGATATTACAATTAGTAGTAATAACATTTTAATTCCTAGAGCCAGTTTACGTTTGGACCACAAAACCAATAATCTGAATTGTGATAAAATTTGTACAGATCCATTAGTTATACCAGAACAACAACAAAATGTCTGCTTTTCTAACAAAAATGATACTTGTACGATCTTATCTACTGAGCAGGATACCAACTATAAATGTACTGTTACTGAGGTTCAAAGTATTCATACAAATGATTGGACAGGTAAGGAGTCATCTAGTTGCTCTAGTAATTTCCGTGTTAAAATAAATGAAAGTGAAACACCAGTTAAGTTGACGGAATATTTCTCAAATGATCATCAAGGGAACCGGACAAATGAAGTTTTTTACACACAGAATGTAGCCACTACCTTACTATCTGTCACTGAAACACCAGAGTCAATACTATATTGCTGCTCATCACATGAAAATTCGAATCTAACTGAAATTACTAAAAGTAAAGCAGAAAAACTGAAATTATATCAAGTTGGTGGATCAAATCAATCAACAGTCATTTCTAAAAAAAGTGATCATGAATACTGCTCATGTTCTGTCACTACTGAAACACCAAATGATTCATTTGAATTAAGAATATGCAATACCCGTCAGTCTAATATCAATACTTGTTCTTCAGAACACATATATAATACATCTGAAGCTCTTCTTATGTCTACTTTTGATGAACTGAACTGTGTGAAAAGTGAGCGGGACAATCTTTCCGAGCATGTTTCGGTCTTGCAAAAGGACTTAGCCAATGCTGTTGCTAACTTAACAACTTATCAGAAAGAGGCAGAAATGCAGACGCTTAACGCTGAACGTGAAAAAGTTGCCCATCAACAAACACTCGAGGCTCATCAACTTACTATTGTGGAACTTAATAATGCCAAAGCCGAACTTGTTAACGTGCAAAAGTTAGTTAGTGAACTTCGTCAGGAAGTTGTCTCTTCAAAAGAAGAAGTCGCACTATTGCGGGCGCACGAAGATGAAAATCGTTCTCTCTATGAAACGGAAATCAATTCAATGAAATCAATTGTTAAGGTATATCCTATTTTATTTGAAAACATTACTTCTTGTTTTTATTATGCCGCATAAGTTATTTTGCATCGAGATAAGCAGATCCCATCTCATTTTTTTCATTTTTATTTTGGACACAGCGCGCTCATAAACCGATTTTTTGTGATTTTCGTCTATTTTTGTTAATAAATGTCAACATACAACTACATTATAAGTGGTCTTGTAGCGTTTATACTGTCCTTTGTAATCAGCATTACAAATTTTCGTGTTTGTATTGTAATGATTGTTGATGTTTGGATAAAGATAGTGATGATTAAGTACTACACATCCCCGCGGTCATAGTGTTGTAGTGTCGATTACTATGCTAAGCCCACATGACCTATTCTAGCTTCTGGATAAGCCAATTTATCCATTCTTCTTGAGCTACATTTTGACCTTGTCAATTATTCTCTTATTAATCCTGACTGTTTTTATGTAAGCATATGTATGTGCATTTCTTATCTTACTCATCACATGTCTTTAACTTATTTTTGTTCGAATAATAATAATATCAATCCACTCTTTACTAAATTGAGTTGGTTCACTCGCCTCTCCATTGCGCGTCGTTTTGGTTTGCTCCGCTTTCCGATCAGCGATCGCATGAAATGTACGTATTCAAAAATCCATTCTCGTAATTGACTTGTTTTGTTCCGTTATTCATTAACCCGAGTTAAGTCGATAATTACATGTGAGGATTGGTGACATGCAGATTTCGATAACAAACATTCGTACGATCCAATTGGAGTCAGATTAAGGGCTACTAAAGTATCCTGTCTCCTTTGTTCTATGTAATCTCGTGTCTATGTCTATGATTTAAAATCTCACCTCGTAGTATTTAATAGTGGTTTCTAAAGCATTGTAATTGTTTAGTAATTCAAAAGAATAACTATTGAACTTTTTAACTTATAGATAACAAGCGATCACCTATCAACACTGGCAGAATCACTCCACAATGCGCTGAGTGAAAAAGCTATACTGCAGAGGGAATTCAATCATTTGAAAAATATGATTCATGGTCAATTACAGAAATTTCGTTTATTCACTCGTTTGGAGTTATATGACGAATCTAAAATAGTCAACCAATTTTCCGTTGGTTCATTAGCTGCTCTTGGAATTTATTTAGAAAATCTGGTTGATGGTAATTCTCAGATAAATTTTCATACAAAGTAAGATAAATTTCACATAAGCTATGCGTTTGTATTTAATATTTTATTTTGGATTGCAACATTCACTCGGTTCACAGGTTCATTTCAGCCACCTTAGTATCCCTGGCTGGTATCAATAAAGTATGCTTTCCAATTTGATCTCATTCATTAGTCTCATATAACCTGTTCAACTAAATAACTTGTAGTGGCTTTGCTTCGTTAATCAATCCCATTTGCAACCGTCATTATATAAATTCCATCGGCGTTTGAAATCAGAAGGCAATAAGAAGCGGTGACTACGGTTTATTAGCGGACATCACATATCACAAACCTACAAGCACATCAAGCAAATTTGAAGCATAGAGACGAATATGTGTGTGCGAGCAAATGTAGAGGCAAATTTATAGTTAAATAGAATAAGGCTCAGCTAGGCAAGGCAAAGACTAATAATAGGATTTGCGCACATATATACATGGAAAAGAGAATGAATCATCGAGCAATATTTATGCTATCAACATTACTGTTAGAGTTTATCACGTGATCAAGCGTACACGTTTATACAGATATGATAGTGATTATAGTAGTACAAAGAAATGTGCAAATTGTTACTGTTCTAATGACATTGTCTGTCAAGTAAGTTAATAAAAGAGCTTAACTAAAATTAACCATAATCGAAATTGATTATAGGAGGTTTGCCATAAAATTTGCTTGTTCAGAAATACTAGGGTGAACGTTTATCTTTCCTTTATTTCGTATATAGACAACCTAACCATTAAAAAATGTGTTAAAAGGCGGATTATTGTGATACGTAAATAGCCTTCACTTAGAACATAATTCCTCACTTGTAATCATTGTAACGAACACCCATAGTTATGGTAAGCTAAATAAATGCCAGAATTACAAAAAAAACTTTTGTGTGGTTTGTTGTAAAAGTGCAGTCCTCACAGCAAGTAATAACCAATTTACGTTAAAAAATACCATTCTGTTTAATGCAGTCCAACATTATTCCTATGGTGAAACCTAACCTGTTGTTGTTTTCATCATTGAAAAGTAACTCATTAAGGAAATCTTGCTTCGATTTTAATCACATATACATTTACTAATACGTCGTTTTTTTTGTTGAGAAAATGTTGAGATTTTTTCAGAGCTATATCTGATGATAATGTTAACTGAAACTTCAAAAGGTGTCGAACTATTCGAACTGCATTCACTTGTCGCGGATCTTTACACCCTCAAAGTCACATTAAAAGTGCATTGACAGTTGTGCCTTATGCAACTATTCAAATAAATGAATCGGTTAGCGATGCATAGAAAAATATTGGTGAAATCTCGTACCAAGGAAGGTGTCAATCAAAGCAAATCCAGTTGATTGTCCTACCAGTTGTTAATAGGATAGAATTCTAACTATTGCATTCTCAACACGAGCCCAAATCTGAATGTGGCGATCGATTCACTTTTAACTAATCAGAGATAATAGATGGATCAGGAAGATACTAAAGATTTATCGTATAAATTATGTATAAACTCTTGTGCTTCTATTACTGTAGATTGTTTTTTCGGCTCCTTGGAGTATATTTTATTCCCAGCTTATTTTTATGTTTATCGAGTCAAGTAAAGTGAATTACCTAAAGAATACTAGACATGTCACAAGTCAACACTGGGAGGCTTTGTGTTAAAAAAGAACATTTTGGATATCATTCCCTACATATATTTAAATGTTAAGGGACCAAATTTTAAATATATTATTTATTTAATTTAAGGAGATCCCAAAATCTATTGAATCTTCTTTTATAGGTCACCTCGTAAATTTAATCCATCCTTCGAATCTCTTCGAACAGAAATAACAAAACTTGAAAATGATCTACTTAGTCGTAATATGCTTGTCAGTGACTCAGCTCAAAATATATAGTAAGTGAATAGATTGTTTTGCGATACGTTTTCCATGTTATTTTTTCGGTGTTAACCGTATCTTCTGAGGATCCGATCCAAATATGCACTCATTTCGTGTACACTAAGTAGTCGCTGGGTAGCAACCAGTACAACGTTAAATAATTCACATTAGACAGGATTCTGCCTGGTAAGTTTGTTATGCCCCCAAATGCCCTGGTACGGCCGATAGTGGGGGAAGTCCGCTCTCCCTCTCGAAATGCTCTCACTTGGCCACGCGTATATAGCCTTTGCCAGGGAAGTCCTACTCACTGCCTTCTCGTGGCGGGGGTGTTGTTTACGAAATTGAGAGGACGAAAAGCGAACGTCCGGCGCTTTAACCGGGTTGGTGGACATGGAGAGTCCACCTAGGGGAGTTGGAAAACCCTGATTCCAAACCAACGGTGCACATGGGCTCCAGTATCCTGAAGGAACAAATGACGTATGAACCAATCGTTGGTCACCGGCTACCATGGGAATGCATCTCCTTACGTTGCTCCACTGCCTTGTGGATCAGACCTTCAGGTCAAAGGCTCTGGTTGTGGCCCCCTGAGAAAACCACCTGCATCGGTTCGGGCACCCGGGCAGTATCACAGCCCTCACACAAACCGAATGATTTATGTGGTGCATATATATTTGGTGCCTCATTGTACCAATATCTCTGTTAAAATAAATAAATAAATAAATGCATGTAGTAGATAAAAAAAGTTGATATTGTGATGTTCGTTACGTAGTGTTGAAATGGCTTACTGGATTCATGTGATTTTAACAAAGTATGATTTACGCCTACGTTTTATGTATTTCTTTTTTGATGAATGCTAACTAGCGCAAAATCTACATCTAAAGATTTCTGTTGATTACTGTTAGTCGAAAGGGATTAATTACAATATACCATATAATGTCTAGTCACTGCTTACACTGAAAACTAGAATGTTAATGGTTACTCTCCAGGGACTAAATGGTTTTAACTAACAATATTTATAACTTTACCACTCAATGATAAAAGTTCAGGTCTTTAGGAAGACGCTTTGAAGATTTAGTCTTTTATTAGTTTTGTAAGTTCTTGTTGTATCTAATTTCAAGATATCTGGTTTCTTTATAAAATTCAAGTCATCATATCAGATAATGCGAACGTATCAACATAGAACCTTAATTATGTTATAAATGAGTTAGACTTGTACAATAAATAAGCGTAGGCATTAACGATATGAATGTAGTCAGTCATAAGCAGTGTGAAAGATGTCGCAGATATACGCTGCGTCAAGTTGACGTACGTAATTCATATTAACATAATGCAAGCAAATTTAGTAGGTGAGATGGAACAAGAAAGTATGAAATATTATTGAAACTGAAGATTTAGAAGATGAAAATGAATGCATTCATACAATCACAACTGATTTTGAGTCATGTCTAATTCAAGCCGCACCTTATAATTTTCCAACTTTGCTATTCAACATACATCACATCACAGTAAGCGGCAACCACGCATGCGTAGCTTATGTGCTGAACGTCCTTAAGCGTTGAAAATTCACTTCACCTAAGTTAGTTCCTTACGCTTTGTTTCAGCATTACTTACACAACGTTTGTACCATGCGTAATTAGTGTTTCGGGGACATTTTATGGTCAAACACTAGCAATTTTCATAGGATACATTTCACAACCGTAATAATAATGGGATGAATTCCTACCCGATATACTTTATATGATAAACAGATTTTCTCTGGATAATGCTCTCGGAAATCCAACTTATTAATGAAACTAGTTTTTAAGGCCTTGTATGTCGATTTCTTACTTGCATCCAACTTAAAGACAACCCTACCGAATTTATGGACTAATCTAAATCGCAATGAACTGAAAATTGATCCAACTAATTGCGATCGAATAATATAAGATGTTGGTTTTGAATTCAATTGGCAGCTGATATTAAATATAATCAACTGAGCTATCTACTTATTTTCAGTCACATGAAAATTTCACTCTGTTAAGCAGTATTATCATTTGTTGTTTTCTCTCTCTTTTAGGTCATCAGTTGATGTACATTTTCATTCATATGGCATTTACTTTTAAACTGTATTGCCTCAAGGTGATTTCAATTTTTTCATACTTGTCTGTTTTATAGATTTCAGTGAAGAATTTAGTGAATTTCATATGCATACATATATGCAATCTCTCCATACGCATACAATATATGTGATATACGCTTATAGTTTATTTGGACTTCTCTGTGATTGTATTTCTTGCTTATTTTTGTCAGCGTGAAGATCACTTCAGTCTTTCACTTTTAGATTCATAAATAATTTTTTAATATTAGCAGTATTTCTTCAAATGATTATGAACTCAGTAAAAAAATCTCTTGAACGTGAGATAATTTCATTGTGCTAATTATTTTGTACTGTTCAGACCTAAGTTAACAATGGGTTATGTTTGCTTTACTTCGTCTTAAATATTTTGATTTATTCTTTGTGTATGATTAGGTGAGGGTATTTTAATGCCTTTAGATGACTATGTTTATTTTATTCCTTATAAATGTATTTCTACTCTGGTTGGTATTCTATTTTTTAACTATTGTGCTGATATGCAAAATTCACATCTGTGTTTTATCTCGCAACAAGTTTAAAGCTTTTTTGTAAATTTATAACATAAACAGATAGATAATGGGAATGCTCTCTGGTTTACTTAGGTACGCGTCTTACTAACATGCTGGTGATGAAAATTAAATATATATGCGCATATAATAAGTGCATAATGTTTCTGCATCCAGCTATACACAAAAAATAAATCTTTCATTTCACGTGAAGTCATATGTTGACTAGGCATATCCTACATGTTTCATCCAATTTTTCAATATCTTTCTATACATCAGTATAAATTGTGTATGCCCCATTCTTTTACCTCAGAATCCCATTGGTGACGGGTACCTTAACTGACACAGATTCTTTTTGACTAATACCTATTTTTATGAAGGCGGTATCCAACAACTAAAAAGATATCCTTGCACTTCACTCGATTTCATCAGAGTAACTGGAACTAAGTCGTACTTGTGATGCGTTCGATGTTATTAGCACTCACAGTGGACTAATACGAATAAAATAGTCTTAAGTTTATCTGGAAGTTACGGTGCTTTAGAGAAGTCTTTTTGTTGACAATGTTTGCTTGACGTCAAGTCGATTTTACTAATAATATAGTTGAAGCTGATAAACAACGTACGAGTTTACTAACTAATTTATTCAATCAATCTTAGATTGAGTTAAAACGTTGCATACAAACTTTTCTACAGTATTTGGTCAAAACGGGATGAACATTTGATTATTGAATGTTGATAAGTTCAGTAGTGTACTATGGTTTCATCTATTAAGTAACACTGCACTTTTCCAAATCCTCTGGTTCAGTTCTTTCCCGCTGATTGCTTTACGAATTTGTTGTAAAAACTTGCAATGTTCTGTAGTTTGGTAACCAATTACTTGTCTCCAACCCTAACTAGGGATCAACGTCTTCATCTGTAACAGTTTCATTTACTTTGAAACTAAATCAGACCATTACATACTTAATCCTCAAGTGACTCCATCTGAAATCAGATTTTTGAACAACCAAGTTCCATGTTTTAAATACGTTACCAATTTATTTACAGAGTTTTCTAAATTGTTGGCCTAATAGATTAATGTTTCTGATATGGAGAAAAGTGCATCATAGTTAATTACCAGTATCCTGGAGTAGATCCTGGCTAGTGCAGTTCATATCTTCATGCCCTGGCACGGCCGAGGATGGGGAGCGTCCGCGAATATTCGGCGCTTTAGCCGGGTTGGTGTATACGGAGGACCCACTTAGGGGAGTTGGATAACCGTGGTTCCAAACCAGTGGTGCACATTGGCTCAAGGATCTTGAGTGGACAAAAGGCGTATGAACCAGTTGTTGGTCATCGGCTACCATGAGACTGCATCTTCTAAAGTTGCTCCACTGCCTTGTGGATTATACCTTTAGGTCGAAGGCTCCGGGTGTGGCCTCCTAAAAAAACTATCTGCCTTGGTTTGGGCATGCGAGCAGTATCACAGGCTGTTTTTTCCACCAGTTGTTACGCACTCATTAATTTTGAACGAATTGTAAGATCACTTGAGAATAACCTAATAATTTAAACAATGATAACAGGTTTTTCGAATTACACTTAGTCAATTATTTTTTTCTAACGAAAAAGACTAGTTTAAATGCTAAAGATAATGTAGGAGCTGTTACTACGTATATTTGATTGAAACTCGGTCGATATCATTCGTTCAGTACTCAGGACTAGATATTTGTCACTACTCACTGATCAGTCAATGGAAAATTTTAAAAAGTGTCATACTATTTAGCCTAGTCATTGAGATAACATTCCTCGATTCAGCCAAACGGTAAAATTATATTTTCATTTAAATTTTCATATTTATTTCATGATCACTCATTAGGGTGGGTTGGAATTGTGACTGGAACGAAGTTACACTCCGAAACGGTTATCGTTTTTTAACTGTACTGAAGAACGTTTCTTTGAAGAATTCACACTTCAAATTCATCTGGTGAATTTTCATATACATTTTTAAAAGTATAACCATAGTTCCAGTAATAATATTCACGATATTATTTGATTATATATATGCAAACATCATATACAAACGGAATCCTCGACTTTGGTAAAGCATATATATAGCTATTAGTCACCATATCAGTTTCAATATCTTGATTGATGTTCTGAGCTTTACTAGTACAACATTACAGCAAAGCATGAATGATTACTTGAATAAACTCGTTCTATTCTCTTTGTATTTTAATTACGAATTACATGTTTGTGTACTCGGCCATTAATTACTCTTTGCACATGGGGCATTAAGGCTTAACAGCTACTGAAAACGAGTTGGGTCGGTTGGTATTTGAGTGCTCAAATTACTGGTTACAAATTAGGCACTTAAAGCACTATACCACCTCTTAACATTCTCCACCTTATTATGCCATCAGTATTTAAAATGAGACGAAACTTGGTTGAAAACTGTTTCTTGTTTGACTGCTTAGTAGCTTTATTAGCTAACATGTGAAGGATGAAAAATTATGTCTTCATTGGACTTAGATCTTTGACTAAGGTGTGAAATTTGAACTTATATCTTCATTCATCTCTCAAATCAGTTTATATGGATTGTATAAAATGGTTTTAATATGGACAGTGTTTTTTGGAGTGGACGACCTTATACTTAATATCGTATCATATGTTGAAATGGTAAAATAACAGGCAATGTGTGGAATTCACCATTTACATAATACTATCTCATTGAAATACCGATCACTTTTGCTTTACGGAGGGAGAGACATTTTATTCATAAATCTAATATATATGTAGAAGGTCCATACACGACAGGTAATCATCACAGTTCATAATTTGTTGACTAGCTTTATAATGGTAACCAAAATAATGTATCGCATTTGACTCCCACAATTTCACCTTTTATACGAAACAGTATTTTTTAAGAATTCACTGTGTATACAGTACTACTGACACGATGAATCGAAATCTAATTGTTCACATCTTTCAGCTATAGCCAACTTATGATAGAGAAACACTATCACTGGACATCAAATATGACCTGATTAACTCCATATCATAATAAAAGCATATTTTTAAATATAAGTATGCATTTAGTGTTGTTTGTAAAGTCGATTGTAGTTTTATATATTGAAATTATATTAGTTTGATAAATAAGACATTAATCTGATTAAGTTTGTAATTGAAAGCCACTAATAACTTGGTGATAAATCATCCTATACAAATTTAACACAATCACTCCACTTACTTAAATAGATTTTAAGTAGTTTTGATACAACCTATAAAACATTAAGCTTATTTAATAATTGTCTTTAAAAAGGTACATGTAGCAGAGGAAATCCAGTTTTTAAGGAAAATAGAGAATGAGTTCGTCTAATTTTATATTTGATTTTTCAGTAGACACTGTGCAAAATAACAAAATTGATTACATCAAAAACTAAATGCAACAATGGATTATTTTTACTTTAATCGATGTATTCCTCTTGAAAATAACAAAATGTCAAGAAGTTATAGTGAATTCTGATTTTTATTGTATAATTGTTGTTTTATTTTTTACAACAATAACATTACACCGACTGTTCAATTATAGGGCTTGTAATTGTTTAAAATCTGAAAGTATCAATAAAAACGAAATATTTTACTTGCTAGTGATGTACTTACAAATAATTAAACTTAAAAAAGAAATGTATAGCTATAAGCTATCGTTGATTTAATCCTAATCACTTAAATAACTTTTATTGTAATTCTAGCCATAAATGAATTATCACATAAGCTTTCGAATATTATTAACTAAATATTAACCTTGCTAATTTATACTGATGATTCTAAAATGAAATCCATATCTAAATCGCCATTTTATCGTTTATAAACCCGGATATTAAATATTTTTGCAGATGAAGGATTGTTCTGAAGTGTCCATATGTACTCACTACTTTTAAAAGCAGTTTTGTTATAATGGTTTTATTAAAATTATAATTTGAATTAATTTTTTAATACATTTAATAGAATCCGGTGTAATTTTAATTGGTCTCTTAAACTTTTCAGGTAAATTAAATGAATATTTCAAAACTTGGATGAGAAAATAGATATAACAATATATACCTCTTAGTTATTGTTAATGAGACAGTGTTCTCTTATTAGTTTTACTTAATTATAATACTCATCAGTATCCAGATATGAAATGTTCTATGCTACTGGTTAACATTTCAGTTTATTATTAATATTCAGTGACGTAAGTATGGAAAATAGATTCGATTTTTATTTCATTTCGATTACCTATAATATATTATACATTTCGAGATATTGGAGTATTTGTCTCAGAGAAACATCATTCCAAAATGATTTTAACTTGTGACTAGTTCTAAAATCAGAAATAAATATCAGTAATATTGTTTATTTGTGGTGTATGCTACTGATGTCTACATACATAAGTAACATGTATCATCAATCGAAGGTGAAATGTCCGGTGGCAGAAGGTTAAGACCAAAGAAAAGAGAACGAGAACAGAGAATGATTGCTGTGGAAATAAAGGGACAGTGAAGTCTAAGACAATTGACATTCGCAAAAGGAACAGTCAAGTTTGAGACAATTCATTGAAATTTTGTCAATGAAGCATTTACGGTATGGTTTACTAAGGTGTTCTGCAATTTCGTATTCAAATACATTCAAATGTCCCCATGTGTGTTCTCGTTCACTAAACATTCTTTGTCGGATATATCAAAGCACATTGACCCAAACATAATGTGATTAGGAAATGAAAATTTATTCCTAATCAACTAATCAATAAATAGCCTTGAGATGCCCTGGTATACCCGAGGGTGGGGAGTGTCAGCTCTCCTCCCAGAAATGCTCTCACATGGCCACGCGTAAACAGCTAATACAAAAAAGTTCTAGTTACTGCCTTCTCGCGGTGGAAGTGTTTACAAAACTGAGTGGACGGAAAGTGAATGTCCGGCTCTTTAGCTGCGTCGGTGGGTACGGAGGGTCCACCTAGGGAGTTGAAAAACCTTGACTACAAAACAATCATGCACACGGGTCCGAAATTCTGAGGGAAAAAATGGAATGTGGACCGATTGTTGGTCACCGGCTACAATGGAACCGCATCTCCTAACGTTGTTCTAGGTCAAAGGCTCGGGGAGCGGCTTTGTAGACAAACTACCTGCTTTGGTTTGGGCAAATGTGCAGCATTCCAGCCCTCACACAAATCAAATGATTTGTGCGGCGCGTATCTATTTGGTTCCTTCTTGCAACAATCTTTATGTATTAAACCAATAAGTAGGAAAAAGATAGAGAAGATTATTTTTGGTCAGAAAGATAAATTTGACATTATTAACTGATCATTTTAAAGTAAAATCACAAAGCTTAGAGGAATGTCGATACGTAGTTTTAAAACATTTGATCGAAAATTCAACGTACTTGGTGGAAATTTTTAATTATCATTTTTATGGGTAAAGGAAGGAAATATATGTAAAAAATTAAATGTTTTAAACATAAGGATAATCGTTCTATTTTACAAGTCATTTATATTAATATGTCTGATCATCTACTCTATTTGTTATATCACTCCATTCGATCTAAAAATATTGAAAAGTTCATTAAACAGATGAACAATTCTTAGAGAGTTGTTACGTTAATTTCTACACTCTAGATATAAGACCCATATCGAATGGATTATTTGACCGAATGAAGTTATAAAGTTACGATTTTTGTTTGTTGAACGATTATACATTTGAAAATGAAGTAAAAATACTTATTTAATTATGTTTTCATGACATGGTATTCAGTGCAAGCGCAGTGCAACTGAGTGAAATGTCAGAAATAAATTTGTTCAGTGAATTCTTTTTATTATAATGGAATGATGATTGAGTATGATAAGGTAATCTCGAAGTTTCAAGTCAGTCAGTCAGTCAGTCAGTCAGCCACAACGTAGGACCAGGCACATATGTGCATCGGTCCAGGTTGCCATACCTCATTAGCACAGCAAGATGAACACCGGATTCATAAAAGTAGTTAATTCAGAGGATATAAATATAAAAAAAAAGTTTTTGAGCCGCTTTCAACCATAGCCAAGTCAACAACATCTGCTTGCCCTTCCACCCCCACGTGTTGTAGCACGGAGATACTCACTACATTACCCAGATAGTAATGCCGCGCAGTAGCTCATAAGTCATTGATAAAGAGTCTTACCAAATTAATCGATGTCTTTGATATATTGTGTCAACAACTGTTTGGGGTCTACGCAATAATGTTTGTTGTTAGCTTATTTTTGTGTATCTAATACTATTCTAGAGGTCAGTGATTATAGAAATTTAACATATCTCAATCTTTACCCAAGCAATTTTAATACTGGTAGAAATGTTTTTGTTATATTCTAGCAAGATTAATTTACGGGTAACTTCTGAGACCTAATAATGGACTAATATTATCTATATTTTCTTATGGTATAACTATTCAGTAATTTGATTATATATATCTATACTCCCCTTATTATAAGCTTCATTTTGATCTATAGATTATTATTGTACGATTTACTGTTTTTAAGTTCAGTTTATTGATTATAGTCTCCCACGTTCACAGCCACTTTCTTGCTTTATTATGTATAAATGTTATTTCCCATTTTATGGTGTCATGCGGTATGTTTGGTTGATATATAAACCAAGTATGTCTGAAATAAATGATTCGCATAGCGGAAGCTTTTATTGGTGTTCTGGACTCAACTAGACGGGCTAAGGGAGCAAAGGACCGATAAAGATGCTAAGCTGGTCAGACCGATTGAACGTCATTGATTTAGCTACAGTACAAGAGCGAATACAAAGCGGGCATGAAGATACAATGTTGTTGTTTTAGTGTAGAAAAGTTATGGTGTTATTTTTCTGTCATTTATCATCCATTGTGTTTTGACTAGTAAAAACAGGAATAAATTATTTTTTACTTTCTGTGAAATCCAATCACGTATGAGGACTAAAATTATAAAACGATATTAAAGATCAAATTGGATTTTTCCAGAAAGACGAACCAAAATAATAAAATACAGCAACATTAAAGTGAAAAAATTTCTTCACCTGAAATTTAATGATATACAAGTTATATGAATGTCAACTGTGGTCGTCTAATATCTTGCGTATATAAAAAGAAATAATCTCAGTTAAAAAAAATAATAACGATCAATCATTTCCCAATATAAAGTGAACTACAAACTAAGAATAACAATAGGAAATATGTAGTAAATCTAACTAAAACAAAGTTAAGGAATTTGTATACTATAAAAGTATTGCCTTCTGTTTATGAAATTAGACAAACTCCATATACAATGATCGTTTTGCTCACATGTTGAACTTGTCATTAATAGTTATCTATGGCACTAGAGAACACTAAAGCTAAGACCTCAACATGATATCACTTGATATAATATAAGTTTAAATTCGAAAATTGATAACAATTTATAAATTTACAATATATTACAATTACCTTAGATTAGGTTCATTTCTTTGATTTGATGCAAAATTCCTTTTGACAGCAAATGGATTTCTTTCATATGTACTTTCAATCTAAAAAGAATTATAAGTTAACAAATTATTATTGGCATTTTCTTTATTGATAGTGAAAGTAAAAATTATAATGATGATAAATTATACTTTAAATTTATCTCCCTTTTTTCTTTTGTACATGATAAATGTCGGATATGTCAAAAGTGTTTTTTTTTCAAAAAAAAAGTATATAAGTAATATATAATCTCTATATATAACTTTGATAGCATTTAATCTACAGTAAAATAATGATATTTATCGTATGAATCAATCGATAAAATCATATACTTTTATTTTAAAAGTAATAAATGACACTGATGTACACCGCTTGTTTCCGAAAAACACACATTGTACATTTAATATTGATTATTAATTTATATTAACTCTTATACGAAAAGATTACTTCATTGGGTTTGGATACAAGTAGCTTAGAGATTATTGTATCGTTTCAACTTATTAAAATGTAATATACAGTTAATATATTTTAAAATGTATAAATCTGGAACTACCATCTACAATAACAGGTAAATAGTATAACAGAAATTTGTAGTTGTTCAGTGCTGAAGCAGCCTGTCATTAATAATACTTTCTTTAAAAAAATCGTTTAATCAGTACAGTATCTACATGAAAAATGCTTCAGTGAAATTATTAATTGATTAAATCTCCTATAAATCTGAGTCAAGATTTTTGAGTGTTTAAAGGATATAAGAATAAAACTAATTAAAATCATTTTAAGAAAATCATTATATGATGCCAAAACAAATCAGTGACATTTCTTCGTGGTGTAGTTCGAAATAAATATATTTTAAAAATTTCGAAGAAAGTCATGTTTTTTGGTGTAAATCTATGAAAAGTTTCGTCATCAAACAATCAAAGATTTCATACACGTAGTTCTTTTTATCATTTTGAAAAGAGCAGGAACAAGGATTCTATCAGAATAACATGATTTCACTTTATTTTGTTGGTTCTCATCAGCTGCCTACAGCCTGTGATATTTAAAATCACAATTAAATAATGGGTTTAAGTTACTTACATGAAAGGGTTTGGTTGGAAGTTATATTGAAGACATATTAGTATAGTATATCAAGGATGTAAATAAATTGAATAAACTGAATATTGTAAATATCTATCTTATGTGAAAACACATTCTACAACATTGAGTGTGACAACAGTTCAAACCGCTAGAAACCAGTGATTACATAATGAGTAAACCTTGACATTATTAATTTGGAAGATAATTGATACAAAGGTCAATGATGTAATAAATGCAAGAAAAATTTTTAAGATGCAGCGAAGCAATATTTGTCACCAATGGAAGTGAAGAATAATAACCATCTACTTTTGAACACATAAGTCAGGTTTTTGACACCTGATGGCTTCAGCAAACTTCAGATGACCGGAGATTGGCTGCTTACTAACCACCTTGAAGGATTGCAAAGTATCGATCTGATGTCGTGTATCAAGGAGATGTTAGGTAATTCTACTGTTTAGAGTCTTTCTCTTGTTCTTAAAGTTTTTACAAAATGTTTAAAAAATCTAAGATATGCTCTCCTTTTTGTTAGGCCAATGTAGCTGCTTTGGCAGGCAGATTATGTAAGATAATAAGAATTAAAAATTATAATTTATAATGTAACATGTTCAAAACAATTTTCAAGTAAATCCATCTGTGTAAGTGTTTTGCAACCTCTTATATAATTGGGATTTTAATTAAAATTACAAGTTGTAAGAACCTAGTAGAATAAAATCAATTCATGTTTTTCCTTAACCATTTCAAGATGAAAATATTTACTATGTATATAAAAAAATCATATTGTTCATTTCATTACTTCTTTCTATGGCATGAAAACATATAAAACAAAGGTTGATATGTGTGATCAGATTGTTCGAAATGTATTACGCAAATATATCACATAATTTTGATAACTTTCATTTACTCATTGCATTATCGAAACAATAATAATAACTGGAACTAATCAAACTTTAGTAAATAATTCCAAACTAAATTTTGAAATGAAGATTAGATTATGATAAAAAAGATAAGTTCAAACTGAGTGAATGGATATGTATTATTATTACTATTACTGTAATGAATTTATTGAAAATTTAATGAAAATATCATTTTTGATATCATGAGTCAATTGAAGCTAGACGACCGTGGAAAACTTGTAAGCACTGGACGGCCGTTTCGTCCTATCGTGGAACTCCTCAGTAGTGAGCATCCACGAGCCCGCTCGTGGGATTCGAACTCAAGGCCTTCAGTCTTGCGACTGAACGCTTAACCTACTTGACCACTGAGCCGGCATTCAATGGCGTTAATGTTAAACCTCAGCCACTACACGAAATCGCGCGACCATGTTCCAGTGTACTAAGGCAGGAACCTGTCTCTACCCGACACGGATTAGCTCCACTGATCACGGCTTTCCCCTAGAACTCCGAGAATTCCTCCATCAATCTAGTCACTAGTGAGTACATGGTAATGAATTTGAAACATGTAAATGCAAAATATTTTGAATGTTCATAGATAGCAATAGTGCTTTAATAATTTGTCTTTTTTCATAGTAGGATAGTTCGATACAGATAAAAACTTATCTTAATTAATCATATTCCTTTCATTGATCATTAACACATAAAAAAGTTGGTTGATGATTTTTGAATTCAATGACCTAAAATATTAAATTTCATGAGTAAACTTATGTTCTAATTAGATATTTTCCATGAAAACAGTATATTTTATCTTCCAAATATAAATAAAGATTAAAGAAAATTGATGGAGAACAGTTCATTAGAAAAGATAAAATCATATTATAAATTGTATAATTATCTAACTATGATTTAAGTGAGCAAAGTATATGAAATGCCTCGTTAATAAAGTCACAGTCAAGAATTAATTTTATGTGACAGTAAACTGGTCTTAGGGATGTTTTATTCTCTAAACTAGAGGATTTAATCTTTGTTTAGCACAACACAAAATATCATAATTGACTGAAAGAGTAAGCATCTAATCTTTTAGTCAAGTAATGTAAAAATGTCATTTTTAAATTGATAAGTATATCATATAAATTCTGTTATCAAGAGAAAAAGTATCTTCGAAATTATTGCTATTATTGTGTAGAAAGTTATCCTTTATGCATCATTCCAAAGATTTACATTAAAAGCTATACTCAGTTGATGATCTCAATATGATCTCGTGAATAGTAATTGTTTTTAACGCAACTCATTAAGAAATAAAAATTGTAATGAATTTGAATCATGTAGCTATAAAATTTTTTGAATGTTCATAGATAATAATAATGCTTTAATAAATTGACTCTTCTCATAGTATTCAAATACTAAATTTTATAACAGTAATTCTTTAGAAACATCCTACCTAACTGCAATATTATATACATACATAACAGTTTTCGGCACCTAATATTTTCGATTATATTTAATTTCAAACATGTATTGTATAGATTGAATAATCAACATTTGTTTGAACCAGTAAATAAGAAATAATGATAGAAGAGGGTAAATTTACAGTCATGGAAATTAATGTATAGGGATTGTGGAGATTACTAAGTTGTTGTTTTTTTTTGGTTGAGATCATGGAAGATGGTCGTGCAATTTCGTGATTTCGGAAATTAATGATCAATTTTAAAAGAAGCGATTTGAAATTATATAAATTCTTTACTAAAAATAATTGTTTAATCATATAAATTGATGTATAAAACATATTATAAGTGAAATATTTTGACTGAGAATGTACTGGTGAACCTACTTTATCTTCGTATTATATATATATATATATATAGCCCATTTGAATATTACAGTACAAACAAGCCAAATGAGGGACATAATAACAAATAACTGTTTTTAAAATTGCAGTTAATGATATGCATTATATGTTAAAACCTGTTGTTAATTATTCAGAAAGTGTATATGTTTCTCTTACGAAATCTTAAAAGTTTGTTCAGTTCAGTAAACTATCTGAATAGTCCATAGAAGTTCGTTGGGAATGTATATTATAGAATAGCCAAGTTAGCATAACAATCATTCGTTTGTTACACTACGTTTTCTTCAATCTGACTACTTAACTAAGTATGCGGTTTACTATTATACAGCACATTTTTGCGTTTATTTGTGTCCTGTCATCTGCAGTAATCCTTATCTCAGTTATTATTAGTACTCTCATGTTTAGAAATCTAACGCATTATGCATCGTTTCGAAAGGAAATTATCCATCGAAAAAGAATTATCCAATCAATTCGACAGTTCTAAAAAATACCTAAAAGAAGATTATTAGTCATACAGTTAAGGAAGGGTAATAAAAATAGTGAAAAATATTGTAAAGCAAGAGAGCAATTTCAATAGTGAACCGTTAATCGAATAGTCAAAGTATCAACCCTGACTTCATTTAAAACAGTTAGATGTCAAAATATATATGTTCGATTATATCGATACAGTGTGAAAGATTATGAATACAAGTTGATAAAATGTTTCAAACTTAAACAAAGGTTAAAAAAAAGGAAGATCAGAAAGTATTTAGGTTAGATAGCATTCCGTAGATTTTATGATATATACCTTTATCAGAAAAATAATAATCAACTATGAAATTATAAATGAGGACAAATAGAAGGAAAATTTATGTAAATAAGAATATAACAACAAAATAATTCAATGGAATAAACAGTCGATTTTTCCAGTTGATAAAATAAGCTATGAATAATCTATGAAGTAAATTCAATAGTTCCCTACTTTTTACTTTCATTTTTGATAAAATTATCTAGAATGATAATAAAAGTTTCAAGAGTAAACTAATCCATTAAAACAAATGTAATACTACCTAGATAGAAATTATTCATTTCATCTAAGTGAATAAAATTAAAAAAAAAGGCACATTGTATAATCTGAAAGCAATGTAAAGATTGATTTCATGATCAATTCCTCTTGCTGGCAACACTTTTAAATTTTCATTAGTTTATAGTTAAAATGAAATGAATTAATGATTATTTTTAGTTAATGATAAAGGGAATCTAATTTTTA